TACCCAGGCGTAACACAGCTGCCTCGCCCATATCAGCCATGCCCCGGCCTGGGCATGGGAAGGGTGGCGTCCCATGGTCGGACGCCGAGCAGCGGCGATGCTGATGCGGGCCTCCAGGGAGACGAGTTCAGCGGAGGCGGCGAGGCGAGTCGGGTAGTCCTCATCGGGCAACCCAGCGGTGAAGTCCATGACGGAGGGAGACGGGGAGCGACGAGACATGGGCGGTGCGAAGCGAAGAGAGGATGGGAAAGCGACGGAGGAAGAGGAGGCGCCGGGTGGGACTTATACGCGCGGACGGGAACCTCAGCCACAGTGATCGGAGGAAGATTGCCTGATGAGGACGCGATCCCAGCCAATCAGCGCGTGGACCGGAGCGCGCGAGAAGCAAGGTGATCGGAGGGAGATGTTCGATCGCTGGTCGCTTAAGACTTGGGGATAATCCCGTGGCGGTACGGAGGCGCTGAGTTGAGGGGAGGGGAGTCTGACCGGGGACGGTCAAGATTTTGAGGTGGGGGTAGATGTGGGGTAGGCCCACATGGGAGCCCCGGCGCGAGCCTCAATACAACGCACACACGGTCAAAGCAAGAAAAGAGGAGCGCGGTAACATTAACACACGACGCATGCGGAGGCTACTGTACACGAACGGCAGGCTCCTCCGCCACCTCATCCTCGACCTCTCCCTCCTCCATCGCCTCGACGTCCCGAGGGTGCGCGAACTGCAAGCGACGCGGTATCCCCGAATAACCATCGGGAACGTACACTCCTTCCGATAAGCGAGCGTGCAAGTCCCGGACGCTGGTCTCAACCGAACTCAGGCCCCGGGCGATACGGACAGCCTCGGAACGAGCGTCACGATTAGCGGTGCGGCACTCGTCCAGGAGGCCTTGGAACCGGGTCAATAGACCATCGAGGCTGTCGGAAGAGGCGCGGAAGGAAGATAACTGCATGGGACGCTCCAGGTACCGAACCGGAAGGAGCGGGCGGCCGAGCTCAGCGTCGGATTGCTCGGCGGTGACACGGTTTGGAGCCCAGGCGATCAACGGGTAGGGCTCGCCCACGTAGCTGTGCTGAGACGGGAGAGTCAGGAACACCTGGTCGAGGTATTCGATCAGGTCCTGCACGTCGGAGTATCGGCGAACGAGCGGAAGGGAAGCATCGCCGTGGGCGACCGCGCGAGACCGAGAATCGAAGAGCATCCGCTGTGTAGAGCGAAGGAAGGTTGGCGAGACATGGAGGATGAGGCGGAAGAAGGCACGTACGATTAGCCATCGGGCGCCATGAGCCCAGGCGAGCCACTCCAGGTCGCTATTGGGGTTCAGACGGGGCTCTACCACTCGCTCGTCCCGAAGGAGGTCGACGAGGCGATAGAAACGGGTGGTGTAGACAATGGTCGAGGGGTTGGGCGGGATGTCAGCGGGCATCGAGGACTCCAACGACGGTGGGCTGGCGAACGGAAGAGGAGGGCAGGGACGGCGGAAGGAGACCTAAGGGTGCGGAAGGAGTAGGAGCGGAGGGAGGCCCAAGGGCGCGGAAGGAGTAGGAGCGGAGGAGGCCAAGGGCGCGGAAGGAGTAGGAGCGGAAGGGAGCGGGTGCCAGCGAGGTAGGGACGTGGGAAAGGCAGCGGAAGGGGGCTAGGAGGACGGGGCGGAGGAAAGGGGGAGTTAGTTACCTACCACTACCTCTCAGGACTCAGTATCTAGGTTGCACCGGGCAATCTCAGGCTTCAGGTCCCGTCTCAGGCTCACGTTTAGGCTAAGGAAGGTCGCAGAAGTTAGGCTCAGGCTCAGGATCCAGGAGAGCTCAGGTTAGGATCGTCGGAGGGAAGGCTATCGAGTATACCAGGCTCAGGAAAGGCGGTCTTCACTAAAGGACATCGCGGACGAAGCGTGCGGCGCACCACCCATCTCCCCTTTCCCTCCGCGAGGTACCACGAACCTCGCTCGCTTCCTCCGCGAACCGTCAACTTGCACCAACGACCCCCGCCCATCGTTTTCACCGATACCAAGAATTCCCTTCCGCGTCGTCCACGCACCGGGGACTCGCAATCACCACACCGTGTCCCGGGTTGTTTTCCTCCGCGGTACAACTCCCCTGCGCCCACTCCGGACTGGTCTCCTGCGTGTGATTGCTTGACATCTCGTGTGAGTGACTATTCGTGATGTGTCTCACCATCGAAAGCTGCTGACGCCTGTACGACTGCGGTCAGCATTGCCCAGGTTTGACAAACCCGAGAACACGTCGTCCCTCTGCAAGACGACACCCCCAGAGTTGATATAACGCGTCACAAAGGTGTGAATGCCCCCTCATACGTTCTCAATGAATCTGAAACGGCTTCCGGGGGTAGCCAATTGTGTCGCTGTAGCCACTCCGCCGGTGTTGCCTGCATCGGACGTAGTATACCGGTATGACACTTATGTGCTTCTTTTAAATCGTTGAATCGACTAATGTATCGTGCCGTAGCTGTCTCCACTATGGCGGATGCCAATCTTCACCGACCCATCCAAATATCCAAGTTCGTGCTGACCCCCTCACCTGCATCAGGTATGGCTTCACAAGTTCTGATCTCTATGGTTCATTAATGAGCGTGTTGTGCTGTAGAACGGCGCTCGCATCTAGGCCCATTCGACGCCCAGTGTGCAGCAGACGCAGACGACAATTGCAACATAATCACTACACCGTGTATGACCTGGATACCGGAGTTTCCGCGTATCTCTGGGCGCGAAATCGTGACGTTCAGCGACGGCCTCTGGGGACCCCAGGAGTACACTCGGTGGCCTCAGTTATACAACGAACGCTGCGTTCACCACGCATGTATTCCCACTCGCGACTCAGAGTACGCCCCGGGGTCGCAAGTGTACGATGGTCTTGGATACGATCCGTGGGAGGAATCGAAGACATGCGGGGTCCTGGGGTTTGGGTATCTGAAGAGGGAGGTCCTGAACGAATTGTATTCAATTGCAGTCGCGGTCATTTCGCGTTACGAGCAGGCCGAAATGGCTGCTCGGCGTCGCGACCCAGCGACTTTCACTGCCTCATCGGGTGTTGATGGGCGGCTAGGCGCGATGTTATGCCTCCTGCTGAGGAATGCCGTTGACCGTCTCAGAGCGCTCCCCTGCACCGAGCAGCACGCCCTGGTGACGGCGAGAATGGCTCACCGTCTGGTTCTCGAGCTTTCCGGTCTGACGGTCTACTTCACCGTCCTGGTCAGTCGTATCGCCAACACACACAACCGTGTTCACCCCGTCTTGAGGGTCCTCGGCGCTTTCGTCCGCAATGACGCCGCTGCCCAATTCTTCCATCGCATAGGGTTGCCATACTGGTACATCCGGCCATGGACTGCCAACCTCTGTATCCGCAAGGTGGTGAAACCTCGTGCGTGGAATACCGAGCTCAAGGACGAACCCGCCTGGCCCCGCATTCCAAAGTCATGGTACGACCCCGACGGGACACATCAGGACCTGGCTCGCTGGACGCAGCCTTCGGTGCTCTTTGTGAGCAACCTATTGTGCTCGTCGGCGTTGCCTCGGCTCCAGGTCGTCGCTCGGCCTGACGGCACGGAGAGTGAGGCGAAAAGGTTCAAGGGCAATGACTCGACTCCGGCAATGCTGTCTGGTTCCAAGGCGCCGCCACAGACACGCAACGCCAAGAAGAGGGGCAAACGCACGCGCAAAGGCCGAGGGCCGGAGAAGACACCGGATCCACACCCCGCGACTACGTTCAAGGCTCCTCCTGCCGAGCTCGTCACCCTCAGTCCTAACTGGACGGCTGCCCTGTCAGAGCTGTCTCCGTTGCCGTTCCCGCCGCGCGTGGCGGTCGAATATTACTTCCCACCGCCCTTCCTCATCTTCCAGGCCACCACTCAGAAGACACGTTATCTGCACAACTTCGCGCGCATTTGTGAGTACTGCAGGCACCGCCTCGTCGATTCCACCATCAGCGGCACACCCCTGCGCATCGCCGATTGGCGTCATGCCCTTTACGGTGATTATCGTCTCGACGAGCCGGATGCGAAGAACAAAACTGGGAGTGAGGATGGATCACCGGGGAATGAGACAACTTCAGAGGTGCCAAAGCATGACTACCTCTACGAGCGATTGCAGTGCGTACGTCGGCTGTTTGCCAAAGGCGGATCTCTGCTGTCGTACAACGAAGCCGATGTATCGTGGTTTCGTGGGATGAAAGTCAATCTCGACACCGCAAAAACCAACAACATGTTCTTGGCCATGGTGGTTTGGGAACTTTACGAGACGAACTGGCGTTGTGAGTTGCGCGCCCTCGACAATCTCCTGGTCGACCATTCGGACGACGCGTTTCGCAAGTGGGAACGTGAACAGCGCGTAGCTCGAGTGTGGCAGTCGTCGGTTCATCAAACCGCGTTTTCGGTCATTGATGTGTCCTCCCCCACCTTCCGTTGGACGCCAACATGCGAAGAGGGATGGCAGAGTCGCCGGGGCAACCTTCAGGCTTTGTTGATGGTCATGAGTGCGTGGCCGCAGATCCCCGAGGTATTACGAGCCAATGCAGCCACAATTGGGGAATGCGATGATGCGGGGCACTTCAACGGCGTCGAGGCCACTGCACTCAAGTTTTACGTCAAAACCTTCGCGTCCAAGTTCTACCGTCTGCCATGTCCTCCCGTGCAACTAGCCTCTCTCCCGTAGTATACAATCTGTTATCTCTGCTGTCTAGTTGTTCAACCCTATCGCATCACATCGTCCTGCTGTCCATGTGTGGCTTCGCTCGAACTGCGCTTTGAAGCCCCCGGTGGTAAACTAAGTGCCGTTTTTGTTACGTCAATGTGGCACGCTGCTCACTTGTTCTGTTACTTAGTGCTGGTCCCGGGTCGCGCGCGGACGCGACTCGGAGGAACTAATGGTGCCAGTAAACGAGTAAATTCAGAAATCAGGATGCTTTAATTCTACAACGGTGGAGGCAGGAGAACAAAGAGACGACGGGCGACGCAATGTCCAATTATGTAGGTGGACTTGAAGGATGTCAAATCAATCTTCGTGAATATCTCTATTCAACAGACCCAGCAGCTCCTCGCTGCGGCTGATTGCACGATCACAGCCCTATCAGGTTTTGCCAGAGCCACAGTTTGAATACATTGCATCCCTGCTTGTAAATAAACGGTATTACATACCCTGCTGTGTGCTCGAGCGCCCCGGCAGAGGTCGATGAATGCCTGAAGGGCAGTTCTGAGATCGACTACATTGATGGGCGAGCCAGCCTGATCCGGGAGAACCTTCGGGGTGGCGACCAAAGAATCGAATTCATCCTGTGTGGCCAATGATACGCTCTTCCACCGCTGCTTGGACGAGGTAATGAATGACTCACCATAAGCTTCTTTGTCAAATCCACAAGTTGTTCCCGCTGAGTTGTCAAGACGTGTCTGATGCCTCGCAGCCGAGCAAGGTGTTGTTGGACGATTCCGTTCCTTGCGGGTTGCAGCGGCCCATCGTTTGCTGCAATCAGTTCTGCAGACGTCCGATTGAAGAGTTTTATCGTCTCATCGCGGAGCCGCCGACGTTCCGTGGTCAGCCGGTTGATATCAGACAGTACGATGTTGGCTTCAGCTAGACCTTGCGTGAAGTCTTCAGGAAGATCGATCAGTGGCCTGATGAACACTTGTCGGGCCACATCCTAGTTCACAAGTGTTCATGACCATGATGTACAAGTCTTCGATATAGATGACGTACCTGAGGCATGAATAACATAGACAACGATGCCGAGCTGTGCTCGATTTGTAGCCGCAGATAATCGGACTCAGATTCAAGGGAAATGAGGCGTTCTATGTGCCTCTGGAGTCTACTGGGCAGGCGTACATCGCGATCGTCGCCTTCAGAAGCCAGCAGTCTGTCCTGGAGCTAGAAAGGATGTCGTGAGTGGCTTGGCCGATATGTTACTTGGTATGGCAGCCCACTCGCCTGTGTCTGCAGTGTAGATAGGCTCAAGGAACGTTCAGACAGGCCGAGGAAAAGATTCTGCATGTCTTCCGCGGAGTAATTGTCATGAAATTCGTCGAGTATTCTTTCGAGCTTGGAGATCAGGTGTCTGCGGTGATGTACGTTCATTTTTTCAAGATGTTTCCTAGGCACGGACCGGGGCTCAAGCATCTCAAGATCGTCGAAATGAAGGTCGCGGAAAGTCCTTGAAAAAGAATGGCTGTGGCTTCAAAATTTATCTGTAGTAGTAGTCCGCACACTCACTGTAGCAGCGCACAGTCAATAGCGCTCGCTGCGTTTACGATATCCGCCTCTAAAGTATCGAGAGCTTCGTGGCTCGAGACTTCTCCAGTCGGTACTGCGTCGGAGACGGCAGACATTTCGTGGATGTTGTCGCTAGTGTAGGGAGTGGCTGCGTAGAGTAGGTCGGGCAGGGAAAGGCTCGACGAGCCGCTTCGACATCCCTATCGTGTTTGCATAAAGCAATATGCTTGCGTCGACGGCACAATGCAAGACGAAGATCGCTTCTGTCTGATTAAGTCTTGGCGCCCGCATTAGACTTCTCGATCGACAGGGTATCAACGCGTTGAAAGAACTTAACTTGAGCTGGTCGTCGCTATCGCTCTAAGTAGTCTGTTCGTCCCGAGTGGGCCATCATATATCATACTTGTAATACACGTTCAGTCATTGTTTTGAAGCTTTCTAGTCAGCCGTGATACTGTGATACACGCATATAACATTGATTGGAATGATGCAGTGCTCGACATGTCGGCCGTCACGCGGGGTCAGTGGCCCGAAAGTTTGACAACGGTGGGTGCGTACGCAGGACACATCGCTATCTTAGCGGCATATACGTCGAGTCAAAGGTTCGACATACACGTACGTACTACACTGATATCGGTCGTAGATGGAGGGAACACGCCAGACCTGCAGCGATGCACATCCGACGCGTTGTCGTGTGTATCAGCGGGTATGACGTATGTCGACCCGAGCAATGGACAAGCCGTCTTCATGGCCAGCAGGGACTACGGACTTCTTGTTCGTCAATCACCTGCTGGCACGGGCACGGGCACAGGCAGCCGCTCCGTATTCCTTGCGGTTCCTGGTCGTCTCCCTCACCGGTAGACTTGTACGCGCGTCATACAAGTCCTGACGAACAGAGCAGCCGGAACGACTGTGGTCACTACCATGACCGATAATACTAGCGCCGTGAGCCGCGGGCTGGGGCGGACACAAGGACGGCACAGCATGGGATAGGACGCTAGCAATGTACGTTGAGAGACGCCAAAAGAAGATAGTGAACGCACTCACTTTCCGAAATGTTCCCAAGTGTCTACCAGAACTACCAGAACAGCGAGAGCACGCATGACGGGCCCCGCCTTCTCCCAGATTGTACTCTCGACGTGCTTCTTCGTCGTGTCGTGCCTCCCATCGGTCCCCGCGCCTTGCGGAATATGCTTCACGTACACACTCGTGCCCGCGGTCTGCATCTGGTCTGGCAACGCGCCCGTAACACTCCTCCTGCGCGAGCTTCTCGTCGGGCAGAACCTGAGGATCCACGTTCGGTGCGACTTGCTGGCCCGTCGCGGTCACAAGCTGGAACGATTGCCTCTTGCTCCACGGCCTCACCCTCGTGTGTAGTGAGCTATTTTACTGCCGGTGGCGCCTGCACAGGAAAACTGCAGATTGCCGCTGGTGGCCTTGACGGCGGCGAGAGGCGCAGGCGGGAAGAGCCACTTGCGGGATGGAGGATGGAGGATGAGCACGATATGGATCGTGCAAATTGGTGCACCGAGGAGTTGCTCCACCATGCGACGTAGTTGTAAGCCGAACGAGGGCCTGTGGGCTAGCATGGACCGCGCGGCTGAGTTTCCTCAGCTGACCAGCTCCGGATCGTGCGAGCGTGCCCATTGGGACGACGCGAGTGTTCTGATATTCGGCGAGGTTTACTGGCAAACAACAGGCTGGCAAACAACAAGCGGTCAGACGGCAACTGCAGGACGGGCGAACGGAAAGATGGATGCGCGAGAAAGCGGATGCCGGGCGACAAACAAGACGGCGAACAGGCGACAAGCAGGCAGGCGGGATTGATGGCGAGAAGGCCAAGTTCGGTACTCAGTACTCAGTACTCAGCGCTGCAGACTTACATAATCGATCATTCAAGAATGCAGGTCACAGCTTCGTGACCGCGATCTGAGCGCGTATCTGGCCTGCATCTGCTCCTCGCCGACAACGACTCGGATGACAGGCTCCGAGTCGACCGTCTCCCTCAAACCTCTCAGCTCACTGTCTCCCTCACCTCCATCTCTAGAAGAAACTCAGTTTGCATCCGGGTCCAACAACGGCGGTCCCGCAGCCCTAGACAGAGCTTTTCGAACTGACGGAGGGGGAGCAGGAGGAAAATGGTAAGGCAGAGGTGCGCAACTCGAATAGACCGCGAGATAGCAAACGAAAGCGAAGTAACCTCCTACCTCCGACGTACAAGCACACTAAGAACCCCGAGAAGGCAGACTGGCGTACACGCCTCGTAGTGAGGAGGAAGAGGAGGAGCAGTCCGGCCCCGATGGACGATGAGGACGACGGCGACGAGGATCGCAGCAATGACAATGACGACCCCGCTCGTGCCGTTCCGCACGAGGTACAGAGCGATGGCGAGGACGATGATGACGAGCCGCATGTGCACGCTTCGGACGCGGAGGCGTTGGAGCCACTCACAGACGATTCCCTCGAAAACGAAGACACTACCGACGAGGACGATGCCGAGCTTGATGGTGCAGTCAGCGGGTCCAGTTTGCGCGCCGCATCCCACAAGGGTGCACCGTCGCCCGAACTCACCGAGAACCCAGACGATGAAGAAGCGGGCGAGGACCCAGTGGAGGACGATGCACCCGTCGCAGAGTTCTGAAGCCTCGCGCATCTGCCACACTCGACTCAGCAACGCTACTGGACGCGGCTCCCCCAGTGCTAGACGACAACAACACTGCGCTCATGGACGTCGACCAGATCGTGCCCCCGCCGCCACTCGTCGCTCCCGCACCTCACACGGCTGTAGCTCCTTCAATCATGGCGGGTTCTACTGTTGTGGCGCCACCCTCACGCTCCCCCTCGACCTCGACCTTCAGCATGTGATTCACTATCGCCGTCCTGCTCCCCGCCGCCCGACGCCGGCGCACCTTCCGGTCGCGAACCCGAACCAGATCACGAGGTCAAAGCAAGTCGTCCGTCACGCAAGAGGAGTGCCCGGGCACAAGGACACAAGACCAGAGCTGAGGCGGCGACGGATCGTGACCTCGACACAGATGAAGATGCAGACCAAACAGCGGAGGCAGATGGGGAGGACGGAGACGTGGGTGACGTTGGGGAGGCTGACCTGGACTCCCCAGCGTTGGAGATGGAACTGGGGTCCGATCTGCAGCCTGCCCACCATGCAGAGGCCCTGGACGTCCTTGCGACTCGGACTCACAGCAAGTTCGCGCTTCTTAGGGAACGCTTCTACGTAGAGAAGACGGAGGCACTTGCATGGGAAGAGGCCTTGGTGGCGGAAGGTGCGAGTGACACGGCATGCCTGTGTCAAGCCGTCTACTGACTCTCACTAGGCACACGTCCCGAGATGCGACGTCTGAAAGAACTGCTGAAACGACGCGATAAGCGGCTCGAGCTGGCCTCTAGGCGACGCGACTTTGAGGCCCTCAATTTAGTGAAGCGTCGTAAACTCAGCGCACCACGGGCTCGACGGAGGAGACCTTGAAGCGCATCGGGAAGGCCATCTCCACCTACCTTGAAGGATTCACGCCTCACCGCAACCTTGCGCGTATCCTGAACACCCGAGGGAAGACTGTGGAGGAGGGTAGAACATCGACTGGGCAACCGCTGAGGCACTTGCCTTCGGCGCTCTCGCCCTCGAGAAGGTCCACGTACATGTGTCCGGCCAAGACGTCGAGCGCGGTACCTTCTTGCAGCGCCACGTCGTCATTCACGACCAGGAGAACGAGCAGCAGTACGTCCCCCTGAATGCGCTGGGCTCCGGCCAGGCACAGTTTGTCAATCTGCAACTCGTCGCTCTCCGAGTTGGGCTACTTGCTCGTCTCTCCCGACGCGCTGACCATCTGGGAGGCGCAGTTCGGCGACTTCGCGAACAACGCGCAGTGCATCATCGACCAGTTCATCGCATCCGGCGAGTGTAAGTGGTTGCAGCGTACCGGCGTCGTCATGAGCTTGTGCACGGCTTCGACGATCAGGGTCCAGGGCGCTCCAGCAGTCAGTAAGAGCACTTCCTCCAGCTTTGCGATGACCACCCGCAGAAGCTCCCGCCGGTGAGAAGATGGACCTTCATTGTTAGCGATTTTGTGAATCGTCATAGGTACGCACACCATAGCATACTGAGTTGGGACCAACATCGCTTAGATTACCTTAGACTACTTCATTTTGGCGTCTCCTTGTACGAATGCTTATCTGGCTTTGTGCGGCTTAATGCATGTAGTTTTCCTGATGAGTTGTCGAGAGCCCTCGCGCAATGGGGAAAGTGTGCGAGGGTGTGATTGATTCCTATTTTGCTACGTACCCTATTCACATCAGAGATTTGGTCAGAATGGGCGTCCGAAAATGTTGCGGTCATGGTAAAGCTAAAGGCTCAGCATACTGCGAATGCGCATTTGTGTTTTAGAGCGGCGTTCAATCAAGCCACGTTGATATCGCGCTGGGTACAGGTTCTCTCAAGTGCTACAAAGGCATCGATATCTTCCAGTTCCCTTCCCTCTCCTCCCCTCCAAGAGTTGCCATGGCCAACACCGCTTACGTCGATCTGCATGTCTTGCATAACGGTCATTGTCTGACTGTGAACTGCGTCGCGTTCTCTTCTGACGGCCAATATCTGGCGAGTGGCAGCGACGACAGGTGCCTTCTCATATGGAATGTCAAAGACGGAGCTCTCCTCTACCGCCTACACTTCAAAAGTGCAGTCGATAGTGTGATATGGCACCCGGTACATCCAGAGACTGTCGTTGTAGGTTGCGAGGACGGGAGCATTCACCAGATGCGTGGTTTCTCAATCGTGAGTTCCGCCTAGTAGCATTCACCTCGAAATTGTTTATTACAGGTGCTGATTCGGATGCACTACGGACAGGATGGTCACGAAAAGTTTGACGTGAGGCTTGGTGTTAAGGGCCCAGTGCACTTTCTACAATACAATGCCGACGTTAGCTGCCTCGCGGCGGCTGTCGGCCCAGAGGTACATGTTACTAAGGAGCAGGACAAAGGTAAGTCCATGGTGTAGGTCCCCAAAGCACCCAAGTAGGCTCATCGAAAACAAAACAGATACGTATACCGGAGGCTTGAAATTAGCTTCACCACCACCGTTAGCCGCTGCCGCTTCTACGAGTCGCGACGACGTCGAACAGCGTGATACGCGCCTGCGGGTCACAGGGATCCACTTTAGCAGGAAGGGTCGTGTCATCATAGCGTCGTACGTCGCACATGGCATCATGTGGGTCGTTTTCTATCTGCTACCTCGTTCATTCACGTATTAGGTGGGCATGTAGAGCGTACGACCTGGTCAAGCGCGAGCAACTCTGGCACATCGCTCCGACCGAAGATGCACCGATGATGTGAGTGACGCGCCGCATGCTCTCATACCCGGCATAGTTAACATAATCTCAGTGCTTCGTCTGCGCTGTCTCCGGATTGCAAACAACTTATGGCCTACCATCTCCAGAAGGGCTTGCGCTGCTATGCCGTCGCCACATATTTCGCCAAGCCCAGCCGGTGCAAGTACGAGTTCGATGAGCCGCAAACAAGTCGTCTCTCGTTGCAGATGTCGTTTCTTCACGGGGGCAAAGCTGTTGTTTGTGGAACTACTACAGGCAAGGTCTGTATATGGGACATTGAGACGGGAGAGCTTTACCAGAAACTGCCGCATGATAGTGAGTCCGCAGAGTTGCGTAGACTTTGGATTGTGCTGACACAATACGTAGCTGATACTGTTCAGGCCGTTGCCGTATGCATATCATATTCGAGAAAACAAATTCAGGCTGAAGTACTGCACAACAGGCGCATCAAACAGGTGCCTTCAGTTATATCGCAACGGGATCCTCCGGAACGGGACAGCATACATATATCAAGATATGGCGCGCAAGGAACAGTAAGCTCAGGCTCGGGACAGTTAGTTGTGTCGTCGGCTGATTGAATTCAATGTGTAGATGAGCGTAACGAAGGCACGCCTCCCGATGGCCCAATGGCTGAAGCGTTCGACGTCTTGACGGTACGCAGGGCGTAGTATTATAGCGAACGACGTCTGATACCCTAGTCAGCGTAATCGGATCGTCGTCTTCAGCGATAACCAACGGCGTGCGGCACTATTCACTACAACATTTCTCGGCATCATCTTGGCCTCCTGGCTGCTGTACAACATCGGCCTTTCCGTTCCCTGGAAGGTTGCTTTTGTGAAACTGTTGGAACTGGTGCGCCGTCTATCTCTATGAATCTCCGGTATAAATTTCGCTCAAGCGTATACGTATGTCCGTAGCTCCTGGGTACATGGCGCTTAGCGGTGGAAATGGCCAACTGGCTTCGCTACTATTGCGGATGTGCGTTCTCCTTCCTGTGGCTGCAGATCAAACTCAGCCTTGGAACGGTGATAATTAATGTGTTGGACGATCCTGATGTTCGAAGAGTATTGGACCTTTAGTCCTCTGCGGCCGGGCGGCCTGTCTAGGATGTTACTTATGCGTACTGTTCTGACTACCTATCGAAATGCGAAATGTCATTGTCCCCATCTCAGAAGACTTATCCTGCCGGGAGTTGCGCCTCCCAATGTGCCACAGTGCGAGGCCGTCTGCCCTCGATACGGCCAGAAAATCTCGGCGAGAAAGTAGCCGACCTATGCATCATCATTGCCTGCTAGCTGCCCTTTGTCCTCAGTGCCGAGGAAGAATGCAACACACGCGGCAGGAGTGTTAAAACCCATAAATACATTCGCTTTCACTTTGCACCATCACCATCGCACGCTCCTCCCCGAAAGTGACCATGCCAGACGCCACTGGAGGAGACACTGCTTCCGCACCCCCCTCTGCTCCTCAGACGACGGTCAGCCACCCTGATTCGACGGTTCCTAGGAACCTGCAGAGCAACCGCGGAAACGAACCGCCTTCGAGTCCTCATCCGGCGGCCAGCGCTGCACCAATACCGGCGCTTCCGCGGAATCCCAAGAGAGGTCGCCACGACGGCCCGGGTGCAGAAGACGATGACAATGCCGGAAATATAAACACCGCCAGCTCGAGCAAATTTCTCAGACTGGATGAGACGGGTAAACGTGCCAGACCAGTCCTCCAGGTCTGCAATCTACTCCCCTCCTTACATTAGTTTTGCCGCTGATCATCCGTCGTCACCTAGGACGGAGATGCTAACGCCACTACCACGACGTCCGCACCACCCCCGACCCGGAGCAGCGCAAAGCGTGGGCGTCGTAAAGGAACAGGCCTTAGCAGCGTATGGCCATTCTCTCTCGTACGTAACCCCCTTCCTCCAACTCCTAATCATCCAGCTTTATGGCATGCCATTGATCTTCCAGTTACCGTCATGGTCTCCGGTGAGGACGGCGACGGTGGAATCCGATGCGCCCACCAGTGCCGTCCAAGGTAGTACGGCTGTGACCTTAGGTCCCGTTGGCCTGTCTTCCCAAGGAACACACACGCCTCCCTCGAACTCTCAAGTGCCGCCGACCCGTAAGTTCTTCCCATGGTTGTGCACTCCCCTGTTACGGCCCAATCTAACGGTGCTCAGAACCGGAGGCACAAGCATCTCAGTCGACGCGCCCTGGGCCAAACGAAGGAGTTCATGCCATGGACCTTGATACGAATGGAATCAGCGGTGCGGCAGCGTTGTCAGGCTTTGCTGACACTACAGGGAGCGACGTGACCCCGGAGTCCAGCGACATGCCACACCCCGCGCCGGTCCCCAAATCGATGACACCATCCAGTTCCACTCTCCAGCCTGAGGGCGTGCAAGGCGGAGCGCTGGCTGCGGGATCAGCATCGGTGAGGCTGTAGATACTAATGATAGCTTTACTTATGCCTGACTACGTCGTCGTGCTGGCTTCATTCACAGCGTTTTGATTACCCAATCAATACAATCGGGCGAAGAGCGTACGAGAAATCCAAAGCAACATCAATCCCGGAGTCCCCCTCAAGCTCGAGCAATGCAGGACCCAGCACAGCGCCGAGCAGCGCTACGAGGGTGCCCCATCACTCTGCTGGTGCGAGTACACGACAGCCGCAGGTATGTTCGTGAGTGGCCTCGACCGGGAAATGACGAAGTTGAGTTCTGTTCCAGGACAATCATTTCGTCACCACTCAGCAGCTCGATCAATTCGAACAGAGGCTTCTTCACCATGTACGTGCAGTTGTTGAGGAATCCATGGCCGGAATCAACCAGGTCGTGCAAGACATAGTCCAGCCTCGTCTGCGCCGCCAGCGTAAGCCTGAGCAAAATGGTGGAGACGATGATGGGTCCGAAGCTGACGACGAAGGAGGGGATAATGAAGGTCCTCGGACTCCGCAAGCGACATTCGTATTCAGGAAAGCCGAACCGACGCCGCGGGAGGTTGAGAAAATTAATCTACAGGTCCGAGTTTTCAAATTTGACTCAGCTTTCCAGCGCTGATGTTCCGGATGCACAGGATGCCATAAGACACCATGCGCGTCGGCTCATGGGACGGCCTAGTGGCGAACGGGCTCCCTTGATTAATCGTGCAGACCCTCAGGAGGTCGCTGCTTATGATCCTGATCCCTCCGATCCAGACGCAGCCGAAAGAGTCCTTCCTTGTACCGCAGAGGATTTCAGACCGGACTTTGACGGTACACCGCATTCGCAGTGGAACGTCGGTGTTGCGATAGTCTTCACACGGAGCTTTGTGAACGCATTTCCGAGATTCCGGGAGATCTTCGAATACGAACAAATCGCCGAGCAATGGATCACGCACTTCGCACATCTGAGACGTTGCTATTTGCAAACGCAGAAAGGAGAGGAAGAAATCTCGAGGATACGACAGGCAGCGCGACGCAAAGCACGCAGAGAAGCAGTGGGTCTATGAGAAGTCGCACGGGTGATATTTGTTGACATGTTTGCTGTGTAATCACACAGATATTCAACAGGCGTCTGGCCGCCGCTACGCTTGTCACAAGCTCGGAGCCCCACGCACGAGATTTAATGACGTCTCTCGGACCAGAAGGCATGAGTTCTGACGAATCCGATCACGACGCGGGCGGCGGGGAACCCGTCTACAAGATCTCGACGAGCTCATGGAGAAGTCTGAGGTTAACAAGCTGGCTGAGGGGGCTCGATGCCCTTCATCTGATGGATCGTTACCGCGGTGTATTCGACAAGTCACCGGGTGGTTGGCCGCACTTTCGACAGGCTGCTCTGGGGAAGCCGAGCGCTCGTGCGGCTGTGGGGCATCTACCAAGGGAATGCTATGCAGACAATTGGCTTGCTAACCAATCGCTTTTTCTCCGTGATACGTTGCAGATGGTAGACATGGCAGTGAACTTGACGCATCCAGAGGACATTCAAAGGTGGATCCACATAGCTGCATGACCTACAAACAACTTCTGATACTTCTTCACAGAATCATTGACCGCTACGATGTCATGGACAGGGATGTCGTCAAAGGTCGACGCATACCTCAAGGCGATGACATCGATGCTACGTCCGGGGACGGACGTCACTCAGAGGCTGAAGATACCGAGATGGCTCCTCCCGCGCAGAGCTCACACGGTAGACGAAACGCATCGCCAGGGCCTTCCAATAGTCGTAGTTTCGATGAAGGTAGTAGTAAGTGACGGCGACGGAACTTACAGTGCCGGACGTGATGGAACTTACAACGCTATGCGACTGCGGACGATGTTTCAGGAATTGTATTCGTGTACACAGAGAAGGAAGAATTGTGTACGAAACGTGTACGTGAAATCGCCAGTGCAATTGCAAGCCGGTTCTCCGCAGGTGCCGATTTGTTTTCGATTTCGACTGCAGCTGAGCGTGTCGCGGCGCTAAGCTATGTAAATAAGTTCGCGCCACACACCTCCGCACATCGCGACTCGCCTCCGAGTCTGCCCCGCTCTCGCCCCTCAGTAGCTCACTCACTACTCACCGGAGTGGCTCGAAAGCCTCATCATCGCACTCTACGCATCGACATAGTGGAGGTCGCTATGGAGGCGTCAACAAGACCGCGAATGCACGAGAAAGGGGACCAGTACCCGGATACCGTAAGTGCGCATTCGCGAGATATACTCAGTGACGAGCAGACGACTCCAGCTGTGCGTGCGCGCGCTGATCGGTGAGGACACGGGCAGCGAAGACGAGTGGGCGGGGAAGGAGCGCGAGAAGCGCGAGCGAGTATTGCTACCATGCGGACGTGTATGTAGGCGAAGGGTGGAGACCTGTGGGCTATGCGAGAGGTGCGTATGTATGCTGGCGCTGCGTGGAATGATGGCTAATATACATTTGGCGACGACAGGCGGGCTGAGCGCGGCTGCGTCGATCTGTGCAAGTGTGCATGGGGACTAAGCGGAGGTGGAGGCGGCGCGGTGGCATACATAGTAGCTGCGTGGCGGTGTCGTACACCAGGTTCGTTGCTATCGTTGGGCGTGTGGCGGTGAAATGGATGCTGAATGTGGGTGCGCAGGTTCTCCGTAGTCATTCTGAGCGCATACCAGCAGACCCGCTCTCAATTCAATGGTGTCCTGGGCAGCACCTCGGGGGACAACCTTGACAAGGCATTTTGCCTTCTTGGCCCGGTGCGTAGCCTGCTCCCTCCGTTCTTTCTCCCCTCGCAATGCAGTCGCTGACTACTGCTGCCCGCGCGCAGTCATGCAAAGCGACGCAGAGATCCCGCACAGACCCCGGGCCGCGCAGCACCCGTGCTCTGCACTACCGGCGCCGCCGCCGCAGTCACGAAACTCGAGCCTTTGAAAGTCCCAGGCAGCAGGGAGACGCCATCCTTCGCGGAGCAGCAGACCATCAGGGGCTCATTCAACATGGATCGGCGGCATACGTACGAGGTGTACCATACCAACGGGCTGAGGGTCGCCAGGGAGGATGCGCGCACTGAGGGAGCACTGTCCACGCCGGTGCGCCCGCAGTTCAGCTTTCGTCTTGAACTACAGTGTTGGACTGACGAGTCGCAGAAGGAAGCACGGCTGAAGGGTGGCCCCTCATCTACTAGCGAGGACGGCGACAGCAGCTCGTCGAGCCCGAACCTCCTCTTGACGCCTGCGCAACACGGAACAGATCCGTGTCAATGCACATGAGCATCGACGACGAACAGGATGCGAACGTGGCTTGCCTCCTTACCTCTCGGGGCCGGAACGTCGAGCGCTTCATGCGCCTTCTGTTCTGTGCTTCTCAGGCAGGACTGAACGTCGGCTCGCTCCCTCAGCAGAATTGTCACGGCTTGGGCATGTCTGCGCCATACGCGGTGCACCACATCGGGCCTCTAGCTGTCCACGGAGCTTCTTAGTTCCAGCAAGACAAGAACCGGAAACCGAGTGGCAGAACGACCCCTGTCGGCACTCCCCATACTTCGTACGCCTTGGGTCCGCCTTCGAGCTTGGAGACAGCCTTGACAGCCCGCTCCTCAGGTCCATGCGCTGTATGCGGTCAATCCCGTGCAGACCCATCCGTGGTATTACTCTCAGATGTACACAGAAGCTGCAAACCCAATACATTTCCCTCATAAGCCGACGTGGTAGCTGCCGTACGTGCCCCCAGTCCCGAGTGTGCTGCATGGAGGGCAGTGGGAGCGCGGAAATCTCACCGCGATGTTGCAGGATGCTATTCTTGTGCCTGCGGGCATCGCTGGGGAGTAGTCAAGAGACGAACAAGGGCAAGCGGCGAGACTCAGGTGGACAGCACGGCGGTCAGACGGAGCCCAATCCCTGCAGGATGTAGGACTCGATCGTAGAGCTTTCAAGCAGGAACCACGATCCCTTCAAATTCCGTACTTCGCGTCGACGATTCTTACGTCTTTCACATTTGTTCTCCTAACATCACTTTGACAAGATATTCTGGGAATGAGGCGGCGGATCCTACGGTGTCTATACAACGTGCCCAGGATATTGATTGCGCCTGCCCGAGGTGCCCTGACTGGTTCGATGGGTGAGTGCGCGAGCGAACGGGCGAACGAAAAGGCGAATGAATGGCGAGCGAACGATCGCGAATAGGCGAACTCGCGGACGGCACGGGGCCCGGATACCCTTATCCGGTAGCGACGTACCGATCAGTCGTCTTCGATCTAGATCTAGAATAATCACAGCGGTGAAAGTGCACAACGCACAGGCGACGCACCCAGGAGACTTGTTGTCTGGCACCTCACCGTCTCCTTGTCTCCGGCCGCCTGCAATATCATGATTGATTCCTCAGACCACGTCGTGTCCCGCAGTGTCGCCACGAAGATCAACGAGCCAAACATGACGATCACGGAGCAGGAGGAGGGCGATGCCGCTGATGAAGACGTGGATGAACTCGAGGAGAGCGATGTCGGCGGCACAGAACGTGCGGAGGAGCGGCGCCAAGTGAAAATTGAGGTCAGTGTACCATACATTCACACTTGTTATGCCGTTCACGACGTTCTCCGTTAGTTCCACGGCGACTACAAATGTGATCGCTGCAAGTGTGTTGAGGAACGGGCACAAAGACGGGCAGCAAAGCTCGGGAAAGGCCCCAATGAAATCGCGCCGTTCATTTGCACGATCTCCGGGAGACGGAAGCGTTGCGACTTCTGCTCAAAGGGCCGGCGACCACACTGCTCGGTTCAGGTGAGTGTTTTCTCATCCTTACGCCACATTCGATGCTGTGCTGAATTTTGTACACGAGCCATATCTCATCAACAGTTTGGTCAGCGTCGATAAGGACCTTGTCGGCACATATACGTCCAACCACGCTCCCGAGGCCACAGTCACTGGGATCGAGTCCAACACCAAGATCTACTCGCCAGCCCGCGTACAGGACGATTCGCCTCGAACGAAGCATACGACCAGCCTCGCAAAGCCCAAGCGCAAGAACACAGTTAAAGCAGCGAAAAAGGTCGCAGGCGTTCGCAGCAGCGCAAGCCAGCCCCGCAAGCGTGCTCAGCCGCGCACACGTATCGCCACCTCAGTAACTGGATCGTCTTCGCACTCAAATAACTCGCCAAGTTGTGTCGAGACCGATCTCTTGAACGAGGAGGGGCCTCGTCTCCGTAGCACTGCGGAGGAGGCCCCGGATGTCCTGCGCAGTGATGTTCGCAGACTCGAAAGCGAGATGCACGAACTGCGCAACGCATTGGAAGCTGAGCGGGCATTCCGGAAGGAGGTAGCAGTCGATCTCGCCAAACTTCGCAGTGAGGTGGATGACCTACGCGCTGGCACCGGTGTGTGCCCCTTGGCCGCTCATGAACCGGATATATCGTCGTTCATTGCCAGGGTTAGGAGGCCGTTGGGCAGTGTCGATGATCGCGATGATTGTGATGTAAGTTTATGTCCATAAATCATATTTCCCCCGCTGATGACTGGTATCAACCCTGTTACCTGTTAGATGACTCGTCAAACGGCTGGTATGTCCAGTGAGCGTACCGAAGGCAACGACAGCCACGGTGCTGCAGTGAATTTCACTGCATCAATCACGCCCTCTGGTCTCGATGTTGGACAACGCAGCGAGCTCTCACTATAGCGTCTCCGCCTTTGGAGACGACACATAATACATGCTGCTGGGTGGGTTAGTGCCATGCGCGCCGTGTAGAGTACCGAGGCAATTTCGCAGTGTCCAATAACTGTACAGTGTATACTATCTTATTGTAGGTGCGAGCGCAATGGCCCGCCGCGAAACGTCCACACTCGTTTACTGTCTTCGATCGCACGGCGATGACCCAGACTTCTTCTGCGTCACGCCCAAGGATAACATCAGCTCGCATTGTCGGTAGCTCTTCTCCCACTAAGCAGCTCAGCGCGCGACGCGAGGTGCCGATGTTTTCGAGTTCGACATGGGGATGTGGCGGCGCTAATGACGGCTTACGTCATGCTCTCACGCCCCGCGACCTCAGCGCTTCAGTCCGACGACTTGCAGCCCGTCATGCTACATGCGACGGCGCTCAACGCTCACGGCGTCCACCATCCCGCAGCTGCAGCACCTCCGTCGCAGCCCCGCCGTCGCAGTCCGTCCGAAGCCCGCCCGGAACGAAGGGACCCGCCAGCTGGCGGGTCGAAGCACGGCGGCCTAGCCCGCGAGGACGTCCGCCAGGTCGACATAGGAGATGCGCGACGACTCTCTGCGAAACGTTGGCAGGATGTCGCTTTTATGCGGAGTCCTGTAAGTGCGCTCTTCGCGTGTCCTTACCCGAAGCTGACCATCCACAGGGGACTGTCGCCGATGGCGGATTCACCGCCACCCGAATTCGATTCACAGGTCCAAGGCGTCGACCACCTCGTTTCACGCCCTCGACTCTGGACGGGGCAGTCTCAGCTACGCGGGTCAGTCTCAGTGATCGCAGCGTAGCGGGCGCGTCGTTGTCGCAGCAACAGAAGCAAAGTCGGCGAGTCGCGCAGCCGGTGGAGCGGTACCGTAGGAGGAGCCATGCCAGGGTGCGAAGAAGAGGTGCGTGGCGTGAAATTTCTCCTTCACTCGATGCTAACCGTTGTCTTCGATGTATAGAAAACCCCTTACCACGTACTTGCCGCGCCGAATGCGCTAGCGAAGGCGACGCTTCGCGCGAAGATATCCGAACTGCAGCCCACGCCTCGCCCGCCCATCCGTCGCCCCGTCTCGCCCCGGTCGTCCGTTTTGGTTTCGACCATGCGTTGATGACCGGGCGGTGAGCTCCCGTTCTTGATGAGCGGTAGAGCGAGCCTGCTCGGGTCTTTCCCAGTCCTGATCCCCTTCGTCCCTTGCCCATGCCCCTGCCGTTTACCGTGCAGCGCTGCTGATTGCTTTTGCTCTGACGACTCTTCACTTCCACCAGTCCACCCCGAATACTCCATGCACGTTCTCCGGGCGCCGAGGCCGACTCGGACACGCCCGCCAGTCGCATATCATCAGGCTCGTTCGCCGCTTGAACGCCTACGGGGCATTGCGTCACCTCCCACTGTCCTCCCAGCGGTCACCATCTCTCCCCTGCGCGGTCTTACAGCCCTCTCTTGGACTCCCCTCTCGTGTGTCATTGTTTCCTCCATGGCGGTGTCGCCGTCCACCTCCTCGCCTCACCTGATGCCATACCGGTACGTGAGTTATCATCTCGAAGTCGATGTTGACAGTGTTGGATCGATGTCTGAATGTAATTTTGCTCTGCAGGTGTATGATGGTGCTGCGCGGCCACTAACGTCAGACTCGTCCGAGTCTGTGTTACCACTGGCATGCGCCGACTCCCATGCCTCGGCTTTCGAACAGTCGGTCTGTTCGTCACCATACAGCCTTCGACCGCTGTCCAGACCTTCTACTGTCACCTCTGCACTGTCGCCGATACAGCCATCCAGATGTGCGAGTGAGCCCGTTGACCTCGCTGCTCCGTACGATAATGACGCCCCCGACCCGGTCCTACCGCCAAACGGCGCTTGCTCATTCGTTCCCTCTGCTTCGGATTCGGCTTCGTGTCCAGGTTTGGATCCGAATTCGCATGTCACGCTACACGATGCACTGCTGCCTGAAGTATGTCCTGCATCGCCACTTGAACCCACAGAAGTCCTCGACAGCACGCTCTCTCCTGTGGATCCGGCATTCCTCGGCAGCCTCGATACCCTTCACTCTTTGACGCGTGGGCGGGATTTATTTTGCCGACTCAGTCCTTGAAGATAGTGCTAGTGACGACGACGAGACTGGAACCGGAGAGGACTCACCACACTACCCTCGTCGTCTCCGTCGGGCCACCCACGTGTCTTGTGCCTCGCACAGCCCCTTAGGCCTCAGCCCGTAGCTGATCTCTAGTCGAGGAGCCACTTGGAGTGCTCAATAAATGGAGCACGTACTTCGCGCTCTGGCAAGAAAGTGCTCGTGCCTTTCGGATCTCGCTCAAGCGACTAAGTCATGGTGCCCTAATCATCCGGCATGTATCCTTGTGATCCACGGTGTAGATCGTCCAAATACGATGTGACCGCACGGTAGTCGTTGACGCAATGATCAGCCACATCCATCGACTATTTTCGGCCATTTCGGGGAGTCAAATCCCTTGTGGAGCGTGTAATATGAGTCCCTTATTTTCGCGTCTGGATTGTGCCGACTGAATAGACTGCTACGGGTTTCGGCGGAAGACATAAAAGAGAAGAGTTCCCAGAGAATCCCATGTTATTATGAGTATAGTAGCTGAGATATCATTGGAGCCTCAGGGCAACGTGTTTGTTGCACTCAGACGCCTTGTTCCATGCAACTATCACCTCCTCACCCTGCCCACCGTCGTTACGTTCGCGTTCGCCAATACACAATGTCGGCCTAGCCCTGGCCTGCCTCATGACTACGCCTGCCGACCGATCTTACCTCGCTCGCAATTTTGCGCTACCCCTACACTGGTGTGGTTCCCGTCCGCCAGCTAAACGTCGACCTCTCGTCACACCCGTCCAGTGGCTGCATGCATGGCATGCCGTTACAATGGAGTCTAAATAAGGTATGCCAAACGGATGTATACAAGTTGCATAATGCATTAGATCCGGACATCGAGCAGTTCTCCTTTCTCGACTTCCACTACTGTCGACGTCCGCTACTACTCTGCGAACTTAAGTGCCACGTCCCGGAGGAGGTTCGTAGCTACTTGTTGCAACGTCATCGACACTGACCCATTTCAAGCTGCATTTGCGGGCAGTCCTGACAGACTATCGCGACGGAAATAACCGATGGCGCCTGCAGCGACTGGTGTTCTGCGAGGCCGACCTGTGGTTCTCTGCCAATGCGTCACATCTGGGTGCGCATTGCTGACAGTCAAAGATATGCGCAGAGGGGTGAAGGTCAAGGGAAATTGGGTGTCGCGGAAACTATATGACACCCATACGACGATAGATAAACGGGCACGGTGGCTAGAAGGGCAGGCAATCCTGGCTGGCAACGTTGACGGCGCATTCATCGCGCGGTCGCTCACTGGTCCACAATCGGCATCACGCATTGCCTCCGACGGAATTGGCGAGCCACTCGTTGAACCTCACGAACTCAATGACGCACCCTGCTTGGGTCCCTCCATGACCCCAAACCAATCGCATCAGCGACGCATACGCGACATCGACTTGAGCGACAGCTTTGTTGCCTTAGACGGGAACGCTTCCTCAATCGATACGGACAGTGATACTGCTGAGTCGGCTGCGTCTGAAGACGAGGAGGAGGCTGGGTCGCCACCGTCCTATGATTCTGCAGAGGAGAACGCAGACGAAGCCCTGGATGCTGCCAATGCGCGCGCTATCAAGGAGTTGACCTCGGTGTTCGTATTAGTCAATACGAACATCCTCACATTTTCCGTTCCCCCGACACTCATCTTTGCCCATCCGCCCGACGAAGCCTCGTCTGAATATCACCCCCCTGCCACGGAGCCTGCTTCATTCGCGAACAGCGGCCTTCTACGCCTATCCACCCAGCATTCAATCAATAACCACTTCCTGCGTCACGAAGAATTCATGTATCAGCAGCTCGTGAACATTAGTCATCTTGTCTCGAATTCCTCCCGACTTCAACACCTGCAGGCTATGGTTCATAATCGCATCCTGGACGAGCTCAGACGCTTGGAGGGTATAAAGGGAGAAGAATGGAATTGTCAACGACACGGAGGTCATGGTCCCCCAGATCCCCATCTTGTAAGGTATAAAGGACAGAATCGGATTCTCCTTGCATCTGGTGAGTGCTGCGTCCACTCTAGGCTAAGCCAAGCTGAGCGTCGCAGAACGCTTTCATCATGCGCAGCATCGTTCAGCAGACCCGGCCATAATGGCACTCAAGTTTTTGATCCTCGTACTCCATCTCATCTCCCGAGTATCGAGGAACGCTTGCGACTTCACACTGTACGTACTGCGATGGTCGCTTCAAAAACTTCAACAGCGCGGCTCGAGAAGGAGCATCGAGGAGCAAGTGGGCTTCGATAGCATTCCCGTCGACTCTCGTACCCTCCTTCATCAGTTCGACATGGACCCTGTCGTGCGCTCCTATGTCGTGTGTCCAGAGTGCTACTGTCTGTACCCAGACTCCAGCCCAGCTCTTGAGAGCTGTACCCATCAAGCGACGCCATCGTCCCCCGTCTGCGGTACGTCATTGCTACGCAAGTGCATGATCCAAGGCAAACTATATACGGTGCCCTGCAAACGCTATCTGCATCAAAAGCTGAAGTGGTGGACAGCTCGTATGCTATCCAGACCCGAGATAGAGCGCGCGATAGACGTAACAGCGGGTAAGGCACGCGCGCACGATGATGAAGATCTCCACGACTGGTGGCACGGAGGCATAGCAAAGGACTTCAAGGACTGTAATGGCGATCGAATTATCGATGCACCGCAAGACGAACTACGGCTAGTGTGGTCCATGGGTGTGGACGGATTCAATCCGTTCTTCGTGAAAGCTGCGAAAAAGTCAAGAACGAGCACTGGAATCTACCTGGTTCTACTCAACCTCCTGCCAGACATGCGTTACAAAGATGAAAACATATGCCTTATTGGCGTGATTCCCGGGCCTGGAAAACCGTCATTGGAACAAATCAACCATTTCCTGCGGTTGGTCGTTGACGACCTCCTGGAGTTTTGGTCCCCAGGAATCTACTTCTCACGTACTGCGTTGCATCCGGAAGGCCGTTTCTGCCATGGTTACCTTATCCCCCTTGTCAGCGACCAGCTTGCGGCGCGTCAAGTGGCAGGTCTGCCGTCATCGTCCGGGAACCACCTGTGCTCATTCTGCTTCCTCACGAAGGACCAGATAGAGGAACTTGACGAGACGCAGTGGCCCGTAAGGGATCTGGATCGGCATCCATCAGGAAAAACTGCCCGGGTGTCCAAGCACTTGTAGATCCCATGAGACCAGTTGTAGAGCGGACAGACCAGCTCTCGAGCAGACATAGGCGCCCAGTACTCTACAAGACAAGTCCCTCGGTCTCAAGTGCATTGGATTTCATTTTTCATGTCTCAGAGAGCTTATCAATTTATTGAATCACTTTGAGAGCTGGCTCAACCAAACAATCTTCGTAGCTTCCACACGCTCTCAGCCAGGTTGGGCTTACTATAGAATCACTTTGTTGTGTTCCTCGACCCCGCATTCCGAATCCAGCTCAGTATTCGCTGTCGACACATCTTCTTTGCAAGTTGTAGGGCACATCAATTATCCTCTTGATAATCGTAATACATGCACAGCACGAACAAGCACCTACACCCACTGATACAACACCTAGATACTACAACATAGATGGTATAGAGACGAGACGCCAACGAGGCTAACGCAGCAACCTACGGTCAGATCGGTAACACGGTATCCTATCGTACAGGACAGATCCACGAACTAGGCATAGTGTCAGTCTCACATAAGAGTGATATTGTGTGGCTCCGACTACTTACCGCGTGTCCCGACGACGACGTCTTACTTGGTCTTGGAGCTGCTCGCGACTGGAGCGAGGGGGTACAATACATGCCCTGCCTGTGCCTGTGCCTGTGCACCCGAGACAGCGGACGTCGATGCCTTCTTCTTGCCCCATCGGCCGAGAACTGCCTTCATGTCAATGCCATCATCGAGCTCCTCGGCGTTGCCCTCGTCCCTCCGGTTCTTGTCGTGGGCAATGCCAGCAAAGGCCCTGGGTCACTTGTTAGCAAATTTGTTCGATGTAATGGGGATGACTTACATGATGTTGGCGGCCATAGTGTCGTTCATTGATTTCACGAGCTCGGCAACACCTTCGTCGTACATCCTGCTGTTCGCATCCGCATGTCGTCGCAGCTTGTCTATGCCAGCTTTCAGGCGATCATGCCTGCCAGAACCAAGGTGATTAGCAGCTGAAGGCGGAACACTAAATAACTCACTCCATAGCATACGTCTTTTCATCGAAGTTCACGGTAGAATTGCCGGCCAATGCTTCATCGAATGCGACTAGAACCTGTCAATGTGTCGAATTATCCGATATCCATGCAGAAACTCAGGTACTCACTGCGCTACAGGTCAGAGCGATCATATTGCTCGACGGCGGCTTGACGTTGATGTCAAAGCGAGATCGGTTCTCGCGGCGGAGGGCTTCCGGGTGCTGCCCGAGCCACCACTGCCGCGCCATGATCTCCGCGATCACGACACTGTGGAAAGGTGTGTCAAGCTCCGGGTCGTCCCACAGCTTACTCATAGCAGTTAGCAGAATATGTCAAGCACTACAAGGCATGAATCTTACCTCGGGGGAAACGTCCGGGTCCGGCATCACTATGTTCCCGTAATGGAACGTATTGTGGTTGCGAAGGTATTTAATCCGCGCTTCCTTTGCCTTCTGCAACTTGTCATTGCGAGCAACCGCGTCGAGGCCAACATCGGAGATCTTGACTGATAAAAGTTCCTTCTCTACCACCCGTTTGGCTTTCTGCTTCAGCTCCTGCCGGACCTGTGCGGCGACTTTGTAGACCTAGGGGCTCACAAGATGACAGTCTACCAATGACTCGTAGCATGGTAGACACTTACATATTTGATCATACGGTTCTTCGTCTTAATGTTATCCCACAACTCCTGGAACGTCTCCTGGAAATCATCAGCCTGGTACTGGGCGTTCTTCTCGACCAGCAGCTCGATAATGTCTTGAGGCACGTCGAACTTCTCGACCCTCTGGCCCCGTTTGCGGGGCCACGCATTCTCGACCGCGATGTACACGCGGAGCTCTTGCTGGGCCCGCCACATTATTTAGTGTGTCTTACACGTTCCGAACGTTAAAACCGGAGTGAGATTTGCCCGTTTCGAACGTGGCGGCCGGCGCCGGCCGGAGGGGTCCGGGTCCACGTTGCAGACGTGGACGTTGCCAGTGATCCGGCCGGAGATCATGCCGGCCGGTTCAGCCTCGTCCCCAACGTTGCGGCCGGCCCTGCCCTCCTCAAATACCACCTCCAATGTTGCGGCCGGGCTGTTTTCACCAGACGTTGCAACGCTCCGGCCGGAGCGCGTGCCAGCCCACCCCCCACTGCTCAACGCTCCGGCCGGAGTGCATGCCAGCCCACCCCCCCTCCTCAATGTTGCGGCCGGCCTGTTTTCACCGGACGTTGCAACGCTCCGGCCGGACTACACCCCGGCCGCCCCCCCTACTTCTGAACGATCCGCCCGGCCTCTTTCACCCAACGTTGCAATGCTCCGGCCGGAGGGTATGCCGGCTGGTCATCCCTCGTTCCCAATGTTGCGGCCGGAGCAGGCAGAATTCAAAGCGGCCAGGCAGTCCACGCTGCAAACAGTCCGGCCGGTCAACAGATATAGCATTGCAAACGAGCCGGCCGGCCTCAGGCCCTACCACTACAAATGGTCCGGCCGGACTTTTTGCCGGCCGAAAACACAATGTCTCGGGCCGAGGGTACAGCCAAAACTCGGCCAAAGCAGCCAGCCATTTTGCCGGCCGAGCTTTTGCTTCACCCACCGGGCAAGCATTGTCTCGGGCCGAAAAGTTGACCATTTTCTCGGGCCGAAGATTTGAGTACTGCCTCGGGCCGAAGAGTTGGGCATTTTCTCGGGCCGAAGATTTGGCCGAAGCTCGGTGAAAACAGCCGGGCTGTCAGATTGCCATATAGGAAATTTGGTATTGACTGGTAGTACTTCATTGATAGACTATAGTATCAATTCCCTAGTGACCAAAGATGTCTAGTTAGGCCAGGATGTGCAAAACAAGATTTACTCACAGGCTTCTTTGCACAACAAGTTAATCAATTTCTGAAGCCAGTTTTCTTTTCCCACACTGTTTGACTATCTAGGATGTGTTGTTTCAATGCATAGAGTATATCCCCAACAGGAATAGTCTTATTCTTTGAAGCTGAATGCAGAACATGAGATAAGGGGCATACAGGTATGGTACCGTGCTGAACAATGTTGACTCCTGCAGCCAATGTACATTCAAAACACTGTTTCACAACCTCTGATGGTTCATTTACCCATAGGGAGTGAATCCTCCAAAGGAACAGTCTTATTCACATAAGCTGAATGTAGTACAGAGTTAAGGCAAGGGTGCATGGGTATACATGTCATACTGTGTACACTTCCTGAAGCCAATATGCTTTCCCCACAATGTTCCACAATCTAGAGTAGCACATTTCAATGCAACAAGCAAGTCTCCCAAAGGAATAGTCTTATTCTTTGAAGCTGAACTCGGGGATGAAGATAAGGTGAATATGCATTATATTGTGAGAGACATACTTTGGATTATTGTCTGTCTGGGTGTCACACTGAAATGTTGTACCAGCATGCACATTGCACTTGCCACAGAAACATTTACATTGGTAACAGTCCGGCCGGCCAATCCTCATCCTCATAGGAGATGGTCCGGCCGGAGTGCATGATCCCCTTAACTCTGTACCACATTCAGCTTGTGTGAATAAGACTATTCCTTTGGAGAACTGAGTCCTTGTGAGGAAATGAACTATTCTAGATGGTGAAACATTGTTTTGAATGTACATTGGCTGCAGGAGTCAACATTGTTCAGCACGGTACCATACCTGTATGCCCCTTATCTCATGTTCTGCATTCAGCTTCAAAGAATAAGACTATTCCTGTTGGGGATATACTCTATGCATTGAAACAACACATCCTAGATAGTCAAACAGTGTGGGAAAAGAAAACTGGCTTCAGAAATTGATTAACTTGTTGTGCAAAGAAGCCTGTGAGTAAATCTTGTTTTGCACATCCTGGCCTAACTAGACATCTTTGGTCACTAGGGAATTGATACTATAGTCTATCAATGAAGTACTACCAGTCAATACCAAATTTCCCTATATGGCAATCTGACAGCCCGGCTGTTTTCACCGAGCTTCGGCCAAATCTTCGGCCCGAGAAAATGCCCAACTCTTCGGCCCGAGGCAGTACTCAAATCTTCGGCCCGAGAAAATGGTCAACTTTTCGGCCCGAGACAATGCTTGCCCGGTGGGTGAAGCAAAAGCTCGGCCGGCAAAATGGCTGGCTGCTTTGGCCGAGTTTTGGCTGTACCCTCGGCCCGAGACATTGTGTTTTCGGCCGGCAAAAAGTCCGGCCGGACCATTTGTAGTGGTAGGGCCTGAGGCCGGCCGGCTCGTTTGCAATGCTATATCTGTTGACCGGCCGGACTGTTTGCAGCGTGGACTGCCTGGCCACTTTGAATTCTGCCTGCTCCGGCCGCAACGTTGGGAATGAGGGATGACCGGCCGGCATACCCTCCGGCCGGAGCATTGCAACGTTGGGTGAAAGAGGCCGGGCGGATCGTTCAGAAGTAGGGGGGCGGCCGGGGTGTAGTCCGGCCGGAGCGTTGCAACGTCCGGTGAAAACAGGCCGGCCGGAGCATTGAGGAGGGGGGCAGGGCTGGCATGCACTCCGGCCGGAGCATTGCAACGTACTGTGAAAACAGGCCGGGTGGATCATTGGGGACAGTATTCAGGGATGGTGAGGCCGGCCGCAACGTTGGAGACGAGGCAGAGCCGGCCGGATCGCTGGCAACGACAACGTCTGCAACGTGGACCCGGACCCCTCCGGCCGGCGCCGGCCGCAACGTTCGAGACGGGCGAATCTCACTCCGGTTTTAACGTTCGGAACGTTAAATCTTACTCAGTAGGCTCGGCCCGCTGCAGGAAGCTCTTCATGGGCTCCTTCGTCAACGGATCGTCGCTCGACTGTGACGCGGTGTCCTTCGCGCGGGGAGTCTTCGGCAACACTTTCTTCTTGCCCTTCCGGCCACTGTGCTGGTCAACGTCCTTGATGATCAACTAGGGTGCACGTCAGTAAAGTCAATAATGGTCTCCCATCACCCACCCCATCATCTGATCCATGCACCTCGCCCACATCTTCCTCACTCTCGTTGTCCTTCTCGTCGGCTGCCGGCTTGAAAGAACTACTGTCCTCACCCGAATCGTCGATGTTGACGGGGGAATGCACCGACGGCGAGTTGGTCTTCTGCTTACGCGGCCGCTTTGTACGTCGATCGGGGCTGCTGCTTTCCGTAACACGAGGACCTTGCATATGGCAGTCAGTCGCGGAGCGGGTCGCGCATCAGCATTGTAGACCGTGATAGCATCGCCTTACCTTCTGAATCGGATGATCGCTGCTCATCCGTGCCCAGAGCTTCCTCATCGCTGCTCTCCAGCACCCTCCGGCCAACACGACGCGTCCTTCTGGGTTTGTTTGAATTGCGAGCTATTCGAGAGTTACCAATCGACGCATGCAAGCTAAGCCGTCACTTACCTAGAAGAGACGCGACGCGATCCTCGTCCTTAGACACCGTATTGTCCTTCTCCACCGGCTTGCCTGTTGTAATGTACCATGAGGCCAACGAGCAAGTGATAATAGGCATATGAATACTTACGGTGCATGGTCGTCTCACCCTCCTCCACATCGCCAGGTCCGGGAGACACATTCTTCGTAGCCTGAGCTTTCTTCTTATACCGCACCGAGCCTGACTCTTCCACTTCAACGGGCGCGGGAGACACGTCATCCGTCGCCTGTGTCTTCTTCTGCTTCTTCTTGGGCTGCTCTGGGCTGGACTCCGCACTACCCGCCTTCTCCTCATCTTGGCGAGCCTTCCTCTTGCGCTGCTTGGGAGACACTCGGGTTGGAGGAGGGGAGGCTACAGCCCGTTGAGCACTGTGATTTAGTCGGAGTAAGGTACGTACTCGTCTTGGCTTGCTGCTTTCCTTTTCCCTTCGAAGCTTGAGGAGACTGGTCCTCTAGACTCACGTCATCTTCGAGTATCTCGTCCGATGTGTGCTCTCCGACATCTTCGTCTGCCATCATGTTGGCAACGTTTGCTTGTATTACTACGTATTTGTCAGTGTCCCTCCCATATTGAGCAGTATGCCTGTACGAACCGTCAAAACGCTCCTTCTCTGCGTTACCTCCCTTGCTTGCCCCCGCGACCATGGTGCGAGCCAGAACATCGAGTTCTTTCGCTGTCAGGTCCGGCCGCTGCGGCTTCAACGCGGTCTTCATTAACCTGAGTCGCTCGGCGTAGGGCATGGAGGTCACTTCAGGTGCGGCATCGTGTTGACTGGATGCGGGCTTGGTTGAGCCAGCCGCTCCCTTCTTCGAGGCTGGCTTGTTAGTCGATGTCCGTTTTGAACCAACGGACGGCGGCTTGCTTGCGGCAGCGGTCTTCGACTTCGATGGAGCACTACGGGTTTCCCTCGACGGCGCAGTGGACCGTGTCTCGCGCCGAGACATCTGAGCTTAAGATGGAGCGAGACGACAAGTTGTATGAGCAAGGTCCAAGATGGAAAATGTGCGTGTGGGAGATCATGATGCGGAGATGCCTCCGGTCCGTCACGGGTGTTGTGCTCTAGAAGACGGAGGTAGCCGCCGATGCCGCTTGAAATGCTGTAGACAACCTAGGGACAAACGCGGAGGTGATTCATTCTTGAATTTTGTATGGGACGAGGGGTCTGCAGGACGGCTGAGCACCGAATGCAAAGTCGGACACTAGTCGTCAGGGAAGCCAGTGCCGCTATTGTTTGCGCAAAATAATTTCATTTCGAGAGTCACCTTGGCTGGATACTGAGCAACGAGCAAGAAAACACGACGTCGACGACAGAGCAGTGCGAGGATGTACTACATACAGCAAGCGAGAATCAAACGGTGGCCAACCACTTTTCAATACGCGTCGTCGTCATGACCTGCATCTGGCGCCATAGGCAGCGTGTCGAGCGCACGGCCCAGTCGGTCAGTTCACGTTCTGTGAACCTCGCCTCGGGCGGGAGTACGACGTCGGAAGGGAGAGTCGGCAACGGATCATAGGTATATCGCAAGGCGCGGCGAACGTAGGGCTGGGCGCCCACACTCAAGTCGTCGACGGTGAGGTGCGCGGAGGTCTCGTACTCGTCGAGAGCATGGAACAAAGTCCATGCTCTCGACATGAGAATGTTCAACTGCGCGCACATTTCAGTGACGCCGGTGTCGTTCATGTCATGACGTATATACTGTAGTACTAGCTGGTTAGTGAGTGCACAGACGATTTGGCAAATGCTGACCATAGTCTTGAAATTCGACATGATTGTCTTCGCGTTCCAGTGCGACGCTACGGCCGCATCGACGAGGTCGCCGTCTTCTACTGGTATATAGATGAGCGCGATTTCGACCTGTCCGAATACTGGACAGCCTTCGAATGCGATCCCGGTCGCGCTCAATTTGTCTGTCCGGAGTTGGTGGGACCTGGGGTTAAGGATGTATTCGTCGAGCGGAAAGATGTTCTCGCTTCTGCGGAACTTGGTACGGTGGCACCATTGCCCCCATCGACGCGGCTCGTGCGGGTCTTGCGCTCTGGCGGCTTGCGAGGATCGTAGAACGCCGTCGTCCGGCTTCCTACGCGCCTCCCGCTTCTCGACGGCGCAGCCTATGAACCATCCTAGCAGAGGTGCCATGTTGCGATCTTTCTGCCTCTTAACCTGCTGAACGTTTGTACCATGCCAGCCACGAGAAGATTGAAACTCACCTTGCGCATACAATCGGGCATCCCCTGAGCGTGACAGAACTCCTGGCTGACCATGGTTTCGTTACCCGACCGACCCACTACGATCATATACTCCGAATCCGAAATGAAACCGTGCCCTCGGTTCCTCTCACCGACGCAGCTGTAGTATCCGCCTCCGATCGAGTCGTCCATCTTCCTGAATTTCCCGTCGAAGAGCGAGGTGACGGTACTGTTGCCTCCGTTGTGGACGGGGCCCGGCATCGAGATGGAGAGTACGCAGGCGTGATGCTGATGCGACAGAGTCGGTGAGGAGGAGTCGCGTCGGAGCAAAGGGGAGAGTGATGCAGACGCGAGAGCAGAGTCACGAATGAGCGGAGGCGAGAGCAACGCGGACGCGGGAGGGCCGGTGAAGTAGCAGTAGAGTAGAGCCAAGAAACGGTGGAGGAGGTCAGAGTCAGAGCGTATCGATCGTGCGATCGTAAGAAGCCGCTCATTGCATTCCCACAGGAAGCCTCCTCTGAGAATGCAATGTGCGTGTACCGCACGCGGCGGCCCAAGGATTGGGTGCGGCATTCCTTTTTTGGCGCGGGTACCTGCCATCGAAGTGCCCTCGATCCGATTTCAAGTTGGCCGGTGTCGCCTCGTCGAACACGCCGTTAAGTATATTGAGAAAAACGCATGATGGTGTACGTGGAGGACATCGTAAATTAATTATCGACGAAGAGGTCGTGGCGGATGAATCCGCGCTCCATGTACATTGGAAGCGCGGACCGCCAGTACCTCGCTCTCGCCTTCTCCTCCGGCGACATGCTGCGCACCCGCGGCACAACGCGCGTGACAGCTATAGCAAGACGCATTCCTATGTCCTTCGCCACGCGCTCTGAGAACGGAGCCCCCTCCTCTGTATCCATGCCAGCAAGGAATGCGTCGAGACCAAGATGTGGGATGGCACGGCGCGCTTCGGTAGCCACCGCAGCATAGGACATACGGATGGTTTCGAGTTTCTGGACGAAGTTCCTCCAACCGTCCGCGGGAACGGTCACGGGGAAGCGGCCACGGGTGGTCTTCAACCACTGGGGTGAAGGCGTCAATATATTAACACACTATTTTATACGGGACATACCATGTGGTGCTCGTTGTGATTCCAGTCGGTGAGTGTCTTCGCTTTGTTGGCGCGATGGAGGAACTGCGGGAAATCGTCACGATTGTACAGGAGGACGCGACACTCGATGCGCTCCCCCGGACCACATTCGTAATCGGTGGTAGCAGACGAGGTCGTCTGCGGGGGCCCAATGAGAGCGTGCAAAAAGCCTTGCAGCAGCGGCTGGCTATTTACGAGCTCCGCGATCTGCAACAGCGGTTATGTTCAGACGTCGAGGACAGGCATGCAGCGTGAGTCACCTTGCCAGTCTGGTACACGAATTCTTCCGCTGTCTGCGCCACCGAGCAGAAGAAGACGAGGGGACCAAGAACACTCGGCAGCCCGGTCCCAGAGACCTCGTTCTCGTCGCAGTCTTCGTTATCGACCGCAGCGTCAATATGCACTGCACTGCACTTGAGCACGGTCTGCAGGGTATCCGTCTTGACAATGCTGTCTTCCACGGCGGCGATGGTCGATCGGAAGGGCTCGGGTTCACTCTGTCGCAGGACCAAAGCCATATAGCTGGCGATGTCGTTGGTAAGATCTTCCTCGAGCGTTGGTGCGATGAGCACGATCTTGTGCTCAGCAGACCAGAAGTCGACGCTAGTGGTTCACTCGTCAGTACAATAGATGTAGGAGTAGGAACATGATCTAAATCACCGAATGCACCGGACGAAGGCAATCCAACTCTTCGAAGCTACATCGGACGAGGCAGTCTCGTTGTTCCATGCATTGACCACAAACTTCTGCAATATGTGGTACTGGTTCTCATCGGCGCCGTGAATGTCCTGTGTGCGGTTGGTGCTCAGTTCCCGTAGCATGGTCAATACAGAAGTAGAACTTCACCTGCGTGACAAACCCACGCCTGCAGGCGTGAGTCCACTCGCGCTTCAGCTCGAGGAGGTACCCAAGGAGATGTATGGAAAGCTTGCGATCAGATTCATCGTGAGCAGATCCAGCCTGGACTGCTCCTAGAAACTGCTGTGGTAGACCGTCAAAGGTTGTCGCGGAATCCACCATGTCGTCGAGGGGCATTTCGCCCGCGAGGATTCGGGTGTGGGGTCCGGTGATTCTATCGTTCTCCCTGAATGAGTTGCCCGGCGACCGAATGGCGACATCCGAGAGCTGCTGGACTTCGTTCGGCGGCGTCCCAGGCGGATTGGTGGAGGCCTGCGTGGCGTCAGAGTTGGGAACACTGGACTCGGTGCCGTCGCTATGGACAGAGTCGGTGTCGGAGTTAGGGTGTTCGCAAGTGTCGTGAGACTGGTCCTTTGTAGCAGACATAGTGGGTACTGTGAGGAGCAGCGAAGGGGGAGTTGGCCTGCTGCCTTCCTTGAAGTTGGTCTCCGTCAGCATACAAACAGCGACCGTGTGAACCTTCGGACCTTGGCGGTGCCAGTGGCACCTCCAGGTTTCAGTCCGTCAGTGCACAAGGACATGAAGGAGGATCGCGCACCCTTCTTTTCGAACCGAGAACCAATAGCTCGAGCAACGATTCGCGATGCGGCCGACGCACCAAATGCAAGCGACACCTCCCAAAACGGTTGCTGTTGCAGGGGATACGGCAGCAACTGTATTGGGCAATGCCGTAAGCGCCGTGCCTTGACCGTCTGTTGCTAGTCGCGCGGACAGTGCGCCATAGGTGAGGCGGTATTGTCCGGCGCGTCGGTCTGTGTTCTACAGGCTCGTTTTGATTCTATGAGATGGCAGGTATATGTAAGTGATAGAGCGAGCGTAGGAAGGCAATGAAATGATCACCACGGCGGTGTACTTTTTCCCGCAGTCTCAATTGGGTCAACTTAGCCGCATCCGCCAAGCAGAAGTACGTGCAGAGGTACATAAGCAGCGGTGAGTTCTGAGGCCAGAGGAGGAGAAATAGGAATCTCACCTTATTAGCGAATGAATAGAGATCAGCGCCGGCTCTCAGATCGGTTTGGCGCTCCACAATACCGCTCTGCGCGGGCTACGAACACACTCTCCATGCCCTTTTCACGAGTGCCGAAGTCTAAAACAGCAATGGAAGCAAAGTCAGCCGCAATATTCGGAATCAATCAACTCAAAATTCGTTGGAATACTGGATGAATGAGATGAGCAATCTCCCGTACGTCGTACCGGGCGCCATCACGGCCTGTCAGAGGCTTACGACAGGCCGTTCAGGGCCAGTCGACGGTGAGATCAGACGCCGTGCTCCTGCTCTGTCCTGGCTTCGCTGTCACTCCCCGCGCTCTCTGAACAAAGTCTACAGAACCACACCAGCAGCCAGTGAGTAGCAATAATCCGTCCTCTGTCCGAAAAATCAGTAATCAATTAGCTCAGCACTTGTTGACAGGCTAGAGGAATGCGTAGGTCAAATCACCAGTTCGTCGCCCGGGGCACAGAAGACGACAGAACTTGTCCAGCATGTGACAAGCCGTGCAGGACCAGCCAAGGGCTTATGGCGCACATGTCGACGGCGCGATCTTGCCTTTGGTACCGCAAGGGAAAGAATAGAGTTCCTCTTGAGCACGACATGCCAGAGGTTACCGAGAGCGCCGAGTGCAATGTGTCCGGCACCAACGACGCGATGGATGAGGACGAACCTTATGAAGACTTCCACGCTTTCCTCGACCACGGTAACCTCTTTCGCTTTGAACTCCCAGCAGAGGCCGCGGGTATCGTTGAGGAAGCTGGAAACGACAGGGGAGCATCAGGTTCAACGTCTCGAGCCGAGGCTGCTCCACGCCGACGACCACCAGTGGTCCCTGCCCTAGACGACGACGAAGATACAAGGGTAGAAGATGTCGATACGACAGCCGGCCGGGTGATACGAATGGAGCCGCGGATTGTGGATACATGGAAGGCGTTCTTTGCGGAGGACTCGGCAACGGAAGGGAGCGACGACTCAGAGGAGGACCGGATGGATGTCGACATCGAGGAGCACGAGGGAGGATGCGCACAGGAAAGAAACCCTAACGGTCGATGGAGACCGTTCGCCTCAGAGCTCGACTGGCGCGTGGCGAACTGGATAATTAGAGAGGATGTGGGGCAAGGATCGCTAAATCGTTTTCTTAGCATACCAGGGGTACGTTGTGCAGTGCCGTATTTCTATCGCCTTACTTCCCTGAATTGGCGGCCAGGTCGTAGAGAAACTAGGACTCACGTTCAAGGATGTTCGCGAGTTGTTCATCAAAGTAGACGCCCTTCCCGACCGCGCTGCATGGAAAACCACGTCTCTGACGTTTCCGGATCGTATCGATGAGCAGCACTTGGTACGTTACAGGGACATCCTCGAAGCGATCAAGGCCCTTCTCGGAAATCCAGCACATGCCAAAGACGTCGTGTATCGACCGCGACGCGTATTCGCCGACCGATCAAGAACGAAGAGAATCTACTCCGAAATGTGGACAGGATTATGGTGGAACGCGGTACAGGTACAGTGACTTAGTGCTTCGTTCATTGCTACGTACGACAAACTAATGTCTTTACATACTTCAGTCTCTACTCCCGGACGGCGCAGCAGTCGCGCCCGTGATAATCTCAACAGATAAAACACAACTTACTCAGTTCTGCGGCAACAAGTCGGCCTACCCAGTGTATCTCACACTAGGCAATATCCCCCGTGCTCTCCGCCGCAAGCCTACTGAACATGCCTGCATCTTACTAGGGTACCTTCCCGTCTCGAAGGTCAGCAAGGACAGGCTCACGAAGCGCCAGCGTAAAGCGCGAAACCAGCGTCTCTTCCACGCGGCAATGAGGATAATCCTGCGTCCCCTCATCCGCGCCGGCGAGGAAGGCATGGACGTGACTAGCGGCGACGGGACTGTCAGACGGGTGCATCCCGTACTCGCAGCCTATGTCGCCGACTACCCCGAACAGACGCTCGTCACCTGCTCGAAATACGGCACCTGCCCAAAATGCTACTGCCCGGCGGACAAGCTAGGCGATCCCTCTCCCTGCAATTCGCGCACCTCTGAGTCCACGGCAGAAACCATTAGCGAGGCATGGGCAGACTCTAACACGCCAGCAGCAGCCAAAGTCAGTGCATGGAGAGGGAAGTATGCGGTGCCGTCACGAAGCCGTTCTGGACCGGCCTTCCGTACACCGACATACACATGTCGGTGACCCCTGATATCCTGCATCAATTATATCAGGGTGTCTTTAAACACCTCGTCTCTTGGTGTCACGACCTTCTAGGGCCTACGGAACTAGACCACCGTCTCCGCTCCCTCCCTCCCGCATTCGGCGTCCGCCACTTCAAGCACGGGATCTCCTCGCTGGCGCAGGTATCCGGGAAAGAACGAAAAGAAATGGCGAAGGTGCTCTTGGGGTGCCTGATAGGGAAGATTCCGAAACCCGTCATGACCGTGTTTCGCTCACTATTAGATTTCATATACCTTGCACAGTATCCTACCCATGACGATGACACCCTACGCTACCTCACTGACGCGCTCGACACATTCCACAAGCATAAAGATGTCCTCATTAAGCTCGGGATCCGAGATTCTCTCAATATACCGAAGATCCACAGCCTCCTCCACTATGCCGAATCCATCCGACTCTACGGCACAACGGACAATTACAATACTGAAGCATTCGAGAGACTACACATCGATTTCGCAAAAGATGCGTGGCGCGCAACGAACCATCGCGATGAATTTCCGCAGATGGTCAAGTGGATCTCGCGGCGGGAGAAGATCACTATGTACGAGGTGTTCCAAGGCCAATGCCAGGCAGAAGACGAGCCAAACGAGTCCGAGGACGACGACCACGGAGCATGTCCTGGCCAACCACCACCGTCGACAGCTTCGGACGACACCACCTCCGAGGTCCAGACGGACGACGTCGGTGGCGGACGATGTATCAGACTCGCTAAGTATCCGCAGGCCCCTCAGCAAAACATCGTAGGCATTCAGGAGCGTCACCATGCTCCGGCGTTCAAGACTGCGCTCCTTCGACTGATCAACGACTTACAGCCGGAAGAGCTCAGACTCAGCCGACGCAACTTGGAGCAGACGTGGTTGCCATTCGACCGTGTTGACGTCTACCACAGATTCCGGTTCAAGCGTTACGAACTACTGGACGGCAAGGAGGATTTCGACGAAGTGAAGGCAGTCCCTGGTGCCACGAGGCAGGGTCGGAAGAATCGATTCGACACAGTTGTCGCGTTGCAAAATGAAGAGGCTGAATCAACAGGCGTCAGAGGCGAGTACATGCAGTAGCATATCCCAGTCACGGTCGTGACTACTTATTATGTCTTACAGGTACTAGAGCCGGACGGGTCAAGGTAATCTTCACCTTGCCCAGGAAACTATCCGCCATCCATGGAGGTGGTCCTGCCCCTTCGTGGTGGCCAAAAGGGCCACTCGCTTACGTCGAGTGGTATGCCCCGTTCTCCAGTGCCGCCGACCCTGCGCATCTTATGTACACCGTGCGCAAATCCGCTCCTCGCGCCGACGGCTTACCCCACGCCTCGATCATACCTCTCGAACACATAACTCAATCTTGCCAACTAGTGCCATCATTCCCGGAGGGCCCCAATGGTGTGGTTCCCGACAATTGGACGTCAGACAACGTATTGGACCTCGCGCGTAGCTTTCATCTGAATAATTGGGCAAGTATGTACAGTTATCAAACACTCTGGTAGCCATGCTGCCGAATCGACCCGGAGGGACTCCGCCATAGCCTTCGTGCCCACCGCTCTTCATCTCACAGTGCGACAAGGGCCTTCACAGTTCTACTAGGCGGATCGCCGGATCTCGTTCTTTGCGCGGAGTCTCACCATAGCCATTCCAGGGATCACTCCAGTCAACATTCACGCAGCATTCAGAGTTCTGACCGCCACCGTGACGGAGCCTTGCCCACCTCGCATGACATCTCGACCACGTCGTTGTCCACTGGCTCGTCCGACGCCCACCCCTCATTCATGCCCTTCTTCCCGTCCATTGCACACCAGCCTGATTGTGCACTCGCCGCCTACCGATCCACTGCACCGTTCGGTTGCCAGTGACTTGCGCGTCCGCTCGTTCGCCAGCCACCCGTCTGCTCGCTCACTCGGATTACCAACCAGCACAAGCACCTCTCGGTGGCGTCCATCTCCTCAATAGCGGGCCACGCTCGCACGCCCGAAACTTGCGGACAGTTCCAGGGCTGTAGGTTACGGAGGGCCACCGTGACCAAGGGAAAATTCCACGGACCCAGGGTATTACGCCCCCTACTTGGAGGTTCGTACCTCCTGTCCTGCCGAGGCTGCTCCTTAACTCCGCGTGCTGCCTCTGATGGACAGCGCGCAGGGCCTTGGATGGGCAGGTATGCGAGCATCCGGGATGAGCATGCGCTCGAGCCCAGTGAGCTTGCCGCCTCCCCCTGCTATGCACGGCCGGGCTCTGGCGGGCGTGACCAAGCACTGATCTTCTGCGCACCTCCACCCGTTGCCCGACCTGTCCGTCGAACGAGCCTTCTCGCTCGCGTGGAGCGCACGAGGCCGCGCGAAACGAGCAGACGGTTGGCGAGGAGACGTTCGTGGAGCATTACACCGCCGAGGCTAGCGCACAGTCGACTACGAGTGACGTTCCTTGGACGAACAAGAACAGCGTTGAGCATGCCGAGACTGAGGAGGGTGAGTGAATGGACGAGGAACTGGAGGGAGAGAACAGGACCCGCTCGAAGTGCCACCCGACGTATGTAGGTGGCTAAGATGGGAGACATGGATCCAGGCAGTATGTCAAATCATTCCACTCTATAGCCAAGCTCACGCTACTTCTACAATACCAGTTTATCGACAGAGAGACATATGCTGAGCTCGTTATGCTCGGCGCTGGTACCCCATCCCATTCGACAAGATTGTATGGACCGACGTCGCGTCCCTACGCTGTATAATTCGCCCAAGCCCGAGGATATCGCAGCAAGACAGCAAGACCCAATGCGCGTGTCTTGATGTGCAGTTGGATATCGGAGAAGGGCAGCGCCACGGGCTTGTGGTACGGTAGAGATACGCCTGCCAGTGCATATGTACATTATAAGTCACGTTTTTGAACGAGGACTTGTCTGCCACTCGCCTAGTAACTTGCCTTGGCCCTCCTCGCACGTCTCGACTGTCTGTCTACTTTCTCGCTCACTCGCTCGTTCAACCGTCTTTCCGCCTGTTTGGATGCTATCCCGATTGTGCACTCATCGACTTATTTGCCAACTCTACTGTGTTTTGACTCTCGCGTCCGTTCGTCCGCTCGTCCGCTCGTCTGCAGCGGCTCAGCCACCCACCCCTCTGCTCATTCCAATGTCTCCTCATCCATCCGCCCACTTACCTATATATTTGCCCGCTCCCCTTCTCGCGCACTCACCGGCCCACTGTATCTGTAGCCCCTTCCAGAGCGGGACCCGCTCCTTACGACTCGTTCACTGCCGCTACTCCCATCAAGACCACCTACGAGGCACTGGCATCCGCGCCGTCCCTTGGTCCTCAAACACGAACGCGGAATGAGAAGGTAGAGGGTAATTGGACGGAGAGGGCGAGCCCGGAGTAAGGAAAGCAGAGCGAGTGCGAAGGCTCGGACACCAAAGGTGCGCCCCTCGATGTATCATATCTTCAATCGCCCTCACCCACGCAACAAGTGTTGTGTTTAGGGTCTGCTTACGGGAGACCATCTTCCTCTGTTTTCAGTGCACGACCCGCTCGTCTATCCGTCTGCCCGCTCACTTGCCCATCCACCCACTCGTCTGTCCGGCCGCCCGTCCCCGCTCACTAGTATGTCCACTCGCTCATCCACGCACTCGTTCCTCCGCCCACTTTCCTGTCCGCCCACTCGCTCGTCCGTCCTTCCATCTTTCAGCTAGTCCGTCAGTCCGCCCGCTCACCCGTCCGTTCATTTGCTCGCCCGCTTCTGCCTCGAGCTGCTGAAAAGGTCGTGCCCACGCGCCCTGCTGGGACATCTCGACAGCTGCCTCGTGGCTCACTTCCAGCCCTGCTACCGAGGTGCTCCCCGTGCTTGCCGGACGATCACCCTCTGCCAATCCTTGGCCCCCTCTTTAGAAGCTCTCGACCTCCCGCACCTCTCTCGCTTCGCTGCACCACCACATCCTCTCCTATTCTACCGAGCGCGAAGCGTGCCTGTCCCAATTCGAGTCCTCCATATCTCTGGAGTTGCTCAACTTGAAGACAAAGGGAGATATGAGAGTCGATCAGGCGTGGGCATGGGCCCGATATTGGCTGAGCTGCTCTGGGAGATTTGCAAGGACGTCTACTCGCACCTCCCCGACATCACCCTCGACAACGTCTGCATCCTCGACATGCCAGACGTGCGCTCGCGCCCCTGGACCTCGATGTCACCGACATTCACACACGCTCGACGACGTCTGCCTCCGCGCCTCTGATATCTACTTCCACCGGCCGTTCGACTATGTCACCACGCTCTCCACCTGTCGAGCTCTGCGCGCGGACCGACTACATCAGTTCCCTCATCTTGTCCGTCTCCTCGCACACAACCAGTAGTCACAAGGCTCGAAGGCCGGATAACGATCAAGGTCGTCGATTTCCATTCGAAGCCGAGTCAGGCGCAACACGACAAGGCCGCTGCATCATTTCGTGAGGTCGCAAGCACGTCCACGGTCCTCGTCACCTCGGACGTGTCTGCGCGCGGTGTCGACTACCCTCACGTGCGTCATGTCACTCCGGATCCCATTGAGTGCCGAGATGTACGTGTATCTTGCAGGCCGTACCAGCCGTGGCAAGAACATACACGATCGTGGGTGCATCACTTTCCCGCATCCTAGCATCGCCTTCCCCTGCTCACGCTGGCGTGATGCTCGTTCGTTCGCTCGCCCTCCCACTGTACCACCCATTCGTTTACCTACCTATTCATTGACTCGCTCGTTCACCTGCTTGCCGACCGAGGACAATTAGCCACATACAAATACGTTGTTTCTGCCAGCCCCTCTCATGCCAGTGGCCCCTGTCTGAGTTGTATACTTGTATACTAAATAGAGCTCGTGTACAGGCTGCTAATATCATCCTGTCTCCTTGTTGCATCCGTGGTGTGACATCCATGACCTGCAATAGTATATTATCATGGTCATAACATGGAATTGATTGCCTCGGATTAAAGTGCTCTCATAACTGGATTCAAAGTAAGTGCACTGGTTGACGAGTAGACATCAACGGAAAAGAGCGACTGAGAGCGACTGTAACGCTTTCAAAGTGCCCTCCAACTGCTCTGCAACCTGTTCGACCAGGTTGGGGCAGGTTTGGAAACCTGCCAATCAGTTGGACAACTAAAGTGTTTTTCCTGATGGAGCCGATTTTGCCCCCATGATTGACCCCCTCTTGCCACCGCCCATTCCCGGATTCGCCGCCGCAGCTAAAACTACTCGATATCACCACATCAGTGCGAAGGGGAAATGGGGCTATTTCTTACCGCGATCAGACTGGTTCCTGGGGGTCAAGGACGAGCAAAAAAGGCAGCGATACCTTTCAGCCTGGCTTGATCTTCGAGTCCCGTGGATGTATGTCCTCAGCTGTCGCAATGCGGCAGTTCCTCGCACTCTCTCGTCGCAGCTCTGGCGCGACTATCTCCAGAATGCTCGGGATGTCCTTTCCTCGGACAGCAGCATGACTCGTGCCGGCGAGCGACGATCGCATCTCGCCGCCATCTTGACGAAGGTTTTACCCCCCTCGGCACTCAGCGCTCGGACCAGTGGAGTCATACAGTGGATGGAGCACAGCTTTGACGGCCCCATGCCCTCTCGGCTCTGGCCGCAAGTCTTGTGGGAGCTTCACGAAGTCGCTTTCCAGTACGAATTGCTGGAACTTGACCGGGTTATGGTCCCAAATGCAGCGCATTCAGGGCTAGATGCTGAATCCGAAGAGGTTACGCGCGAGGCATTGATATGCGCAATCTTCCCTGGAGCGTGCAGCTTGCAGGTCTCTGATCTCGCTGCTGCCCAGCAAGGCCTCGCCTCAGAACTACGTGACGAACGAGGTAGGGCACTAGATAGGTGGCTTCGTGTTGTGCGGCGATGGCCCCGCTGCCCTGATTCGCTGCGTAACTGCACCAGGCTCGAGTACCAGTTCACGGAGGGGCAGATGAACTATGTCGAACGAGTTTTAGTGCAATATTACGTGGAGACGTTTTTCGAATGGGCTGTCCGGCTTCCCATCCTTCCCCGACGTTGCCCTTAGATCTTCTGAACGCGCATTCAATTTGCTTTCAAACGCTATCGTCTCTGTTGTCCATCTTGCTATTACTTTTGCACACTCGAGATACACTCCTCTTTATTCGTATCGTTACGTTGGTACTGGCAGATGCACGGCAATCTGAATTCGACTGTCCGCTTGCGAAGTCGGGCGCCTAGAGGCGTGATGCGACGCGTGCTGGCGCGTCACCCAGGTCACATCCTCCCGTCCAGCTGGGAGCGACAATGCGCTGACTCTCAGACCGAACACTCCCCTTCAAATGCGGTACAAGCGCAAGGCCGACTTCGATAACACTTCGTCCCGGAAACTATTCCGGACGTTATCTGGCTCGCCTGGGGAGCCCCCCCAATTTGATACTACGAGAGAGGCAAGGGTGCGTATGAACAAAGTCCAAAAACTTCAACTTCTTTATTCAAGCTTCGCTTTTTAGGCAACGCGCAAACACACTGTAGGGCAACCGACTTCGACCGTCGTGAGGATGCCAGTCTGACCAGCATTGTAGGACCGATCGAAGATCGCCGCATTACGTCGGGCGTTCTTGCATCAGCGGGATACAACGACGGCGCATAATACGCCACTGCGCACTGTAGGGCAACCTACTCTGTCCGTCGTGATTAGCCAGGCTGATCAGCGTCGTAGGACCAATTGAGGATCGCAGCACCGCGGCTGGCGTTCTTGCAGCGGCAGAAAACAATGGCAGCGCAGGATACGCCACTTCCTTCCATCCGAACCGTTGATTCACCGAGCGAGATACTGGACGAGTCAAGGGCACTGCATGGATGGAGGTCAATGGCGTTCAGGGACTCTGAAAGCATCTACGAAGAGGAGCGTGCGCGCATGAAACACAGTTGGAGGCTCCAGCACAGTAATGCAGACCATGACGATGTGCGTAACCCTCAATCTTTTGTGGGGTTGTTCTTATGATGAGCTGGTGATATTGTTCTTTCATAGGCTGGGATCGGAGCGCAGTCGCTAGTTGATGCAAGTCCTGACAACAGGACGTCCTTGAGCCGCACCGTCACACTCGGCGGAAGTGCAATTCCTGCCGCCCATGGCTTCGGTCCCATTTTGTGGTGTTCTGCCGCTTGCGTCCTCAAGCTCGCCGCAGGGTCCATCCGCACCCTAACCCCTGCAAACTTCTTGGCCGCATTGCGTGTTGCTATGTCAGCGCTCCAATTCTTCGCGGACATCCTGATGATCTGCATTGGCATTGCTCCGTGCATCTTCATCCTCGCCTCGGATTCCCTTTCATACGTTTACAGCGCCGTCGCTCCATATCTACGGATATGCGGCATAATGTCTGTCTACCTACTCATCCAGGGTTTGATTGCGCTCTTAACATGCCTCGACACGGCGGCTGTACTCGGACAACGTCTTGTGCTGCGGCCAACCCTCCATGCGATGCGTTCGTCTTGGAGGCGACCTGTCGCATACACGACCATCGCCGCTTTGATGATCCTCATATGCATCGGAGTGTCCACCCAAGACTTATCTGTGGCCCCTGCAAAAGTGCAGAGTATGGACGATGTGCATCTAGTTCGCAGGTAACGAGCGATCGTCTCGACACGATGGGTCTGCTGGCTAATCATTGGGAACAGTGTCCAGAGGCCGCGATCCCTCCAACGAGAGGTCCTTCGAGGCGGAGATTCTTTCTCAGCATACTATTCATTCCCTGACGCTGAGATCTCAGGCCCTCAACTGCTCTCGAAGACATGCTATCACGTCCAGTACTCCCGCCCATTCAACAGGTTATTCGCAGGCGGAGTGGAGCCGCGGACCGAACAAGGACAGCTGGGGACGAGTGTGTCTGGTAGTGCGCGCTCGTCTATGCATTGGAAATGCGTATCCTCGAGGCATGCCGACTATACCGGGTGCTTCGTCTGCCCAGGACTTCGCGCTTCTTCTGAAGTGGGCGCAGACCGGTGCTAAGCTATTCCGCAAACAGGGTACGCGCATCAATAACTTGAATGCTAACCAGTACTCATCCCCGTTTGCGGCTAGCTGCGGAACGTACGGTGTTCTGTTGAGAGCAGAGATCTCTACTCGGGTGCATGGCTAGATACACGGACTTGTTGATTCAAATTGGACTGGTAAATTCGTCTCCGAATGTTGTATCACGACTACCTACCGTCTCTGCGAGTGGTAGGTTCATTATGCGAACCTTTTTCTACGAAATGTTTTCCGCGAACAAAGCATTCTTAGACCGCCTTTGTATAATGCCACATGGGCGACACCTGCAGTGGACTCCTTTGTTCACCTTCGTAGCTGAAAGAAGCATTAACCACACTGCATACCTTCACCTCAAGTCGTCGTCCCGCTACGCATCTCCTCCGCCGTCCCGCTGCAACTCGAAGAATCCTTCGCAGTCATGTCTGCTACCGATGTCGTCCCGTTGGCTAGTGCCATCCAGAAAGTGGCCGAGAGCAGAAAGGCCATACTGGAAGCTGGAGTGGCATACACTCTAGAGCTCCGGAGGTGCGTAGATCTAATGCAAGTTCAGTTTGCTTGACTCATTGTTTTACAGAAGTCTTGTTCTAAATGGCATCAGCTACCACAGACTCGAAGACGTGACCTTTCCAATGAGGCGGCTTCAGAAGCAGAACAAAGCCTATAGAGAAGAAGTGCTCAAGCGTATTCAGCATCAGGCGCAGAAGGCCAGGAGACTGCAGAGTACAGCACGAGTCCTGAGGAGTATAAAGATGGTCCATTCCCTCAAATCGACATTGCAGGCAACATACACTGAGGTCAGTCTGCGTTTACTGTATCCCGGACCCCCGTTGACCATGTCCTGACTACTGGCAGACCGCGACGTTACTCGAACAAGCACACCGGGTCGTGGCCGCCGAAGAGAAGCTCACAGTCCTTACGATGATGGTATCATCGCGCACGGGCTTCGAGACTCTGTGGCAGAAAGGGGGCACTCTGGACGAGGTGGCTTCTGAGCTGCAACAGCGATTGGCGATACTGGAGGCCACAGAGGTAAGCCATCCCGCGTCAGGTTTCACCTATCATGCTGAGTGGCTATTTCGAAGGATGAGCTTTGCAAACAGCTATCTCCGCTGAAGGAAACACCTTGTTTCGGCAACACGGAAGTCCAAGGAAACGCCATTATCATCGATCTCCAAGGGATCGAAGCGTTTCGGGGAGCCGATCTGCGCGACGCGCTGGAAATTCAGTCGACGGCTCAGCGCAGATGGGAATCCAGTGGTCTGTCTACCGTGACGCGCGCAGATTTCGACGGGGTGATGCAGCAACTTGAGGAATTGAATATGACAGTTCACGACAGAGGACACACCCAAAGAAAGCTTCAAGAGTCTCTTTGGGTGCGTTGTCGATTTCGAATACGAGGAATTATGCTTTGACGACACGGAGAACTACAGGAACTGATGAAAAAGGCCGAGACTGTACCCAAACTCAAGGATGGAATTGCAGTCGACCGCCTTCTCAAGACCAATGCCAACGTGGCGGAGTTCGTCGAGCGTGCCGAAAAATATCAGCAGGTAAACTACGTCCATCGTAACGAAGCCGTTCTTCTCTAACGACTCGTGCTAGCTATCGGAGCAGGGGCGTACGACGCTCGGCTGGGCTGCGGTGTATGCCAGAGTAGTGAGCGCTCGCGCGTAGGCTAGTAGATTCCTACGTGCATGACAGAGAGCATTCAGCCTTCAACATACTTCTCTTGTACCAATTCATATGCGTATGCTTTATGGAGGCCATGATAGTCTCAACACCACCCGCGTCCGAGTCGCCCGTCGTCTGATTGTTCTACTGCATCCGTTATTGTAAAGCTAAAGTGTCCTGACCTCTAATATTACTCGCCGACTGTCACCATGAGTTCCTCCGGGTCGCGTCCCCACGCAACTCGGGGAGTCGATATGTTTTCGAGTTCGACATGGGGATGTGGCGGCGCTAATGACGGCTTACGTCATGCTCTCACGCCCCGCGACCTCAGCGCTTCAGTCCGACGACTTGCAGCCCGTCATGCTACATGCGACGGCGCTCAACGCTCACGGCGTCCACCATCCCGCAGCTGCAGCACCTCCGTCGCAGCCCCGCCGTCGCAGTCCGTCCGAAGCCCGCCCGGAACGAAGGGACCCGCCAGCTGGCGGGTCGAAGCACGGCGGCCTAGCCCGCGAGGACGTCCGCCAGGTCGACATAGGAGATGCGCGACGACTCTCTGTGAAACGTTGGCAGGATGTCGCTTTTATGCGGAGTCCTGTAAGTGCGCTCTTCGCGTGTCCTTACCCGAAGCTGACCATCCACAGGGGACTGTCGCCGATGGCGGATTCACCGCCACCCGAATTCGATTCACAGGTCCAAGGCGTCGACCACCTCGTTTCACGCCCTCGACTCTGGACGGGGCAGTCTCAGCTACGCGGGTCAGTCTCAGCGATCGCAGCGTAGCGGGCGCGTCGTTGTCGCAGCAACAGAAGCAAAGTCGGCGAGTCGCGCAGCCGGTGGAGCGGTACCGTAGGAGGAGCCATGCCAGGGTGCGAAGAAGAGGTGCGTGGCGTGAAATTTCTCCTTCACTCGATGCTAACCGTTGTCTTCGATGTATAGAAAACCCCTTACCACGTACTTGCCGCGCCGAATGCGCTAGCGAAGGCGACGCTTCGCGCGAAGATATCCGAACTGCAGCCCACGCCTCGCCCGCCCATCCGTCGCCCCCGTCTCGCCCCGGTCGTCCGTTTTGGTTTCGACCATGCGTTGATGACCGGGCGGTGAGCTCCCGTTCTTGACGAGCGGTAGAGCGAACCTACTCGCTGTGGCTAGTTTCCCAGGGTGTTTGTCTATGCACTTCTCACTGCTGCAATCCGTCGCCTGCGCGCGCTGAATGCAGTGAGCCGTGAGGTCGAGTGCGGGACGGCCAGGCTCGCGTGTGAGTTGCAGAGCGTGCTCAAGGCGGAGATGATAGACAGGTGACCGCCTCGGCCGCGCGGATATCACGCTCTATGGTATGGGGCGATTGGCCGCGAGTAATGGTCGACAAGTCCACTGCACTTGGCGCAAGCAAGGAGCCCAAGGATGCGCACCCTGAGCTGATGCAGGCAGAAACACGGCTCACGGAGTCGGTGGTGTGGACCACACACAGCACTTACTACCGCTGCGCCGGGGGCCTTGTGTGGGCTCCGGTCTTCCTATCATTGGTAGCTCTCATGCAGGGCACCCAAGGTCCGTCCCCCTTTGTGTGAGAGTAGAGCTACTGATGACCCCGCCTGCAGCCGCCAACAACCTATTCCTTGGCTAGTGGACTGCGGAGAGCGTCAAGGGCTTCACTCAAGGGGATTACATGGGGACATATGCTGCCCTCCACCGCCGCATCTCGGTCGAGACAAACGCCTGGACTCTGTCTTGCGGTCAAAATCGTACTCTGCCTATGTTGGTACGCTGCACCAGTATCTCCATTCTTCCTTCACTGACAACGATATGCGCAGAATCGCTCACCAGCATTAGCACCGTCCGCGCACATAGAGAAGAAGTGAGTATCGCATCGTAACGACGCAGTCGTACCCAGGAACTTACGCCCGTGCAGGGCAGATTCATTCGGAAGACGGAAGACGGTCTCGACGTGGAGAACAGGGCCTGCTACATAGTCATCGTGATCCAGCAGTGGCTGAGCGTACGGCTCAACCTGCTCTGCAGCATTCTCGTCCTCGTTGTGCTCGACATCGCGCTCTTCAGGCCAGGTTCAGCAAGACGATCAGCCCTAGCAAGGTCGACATCGTCCTGTTGTACAGATTGAGCAATGCGTGCTCGCTCGGCATGCGATCCTCATCGTCCGTGCGTAGCAGTCTCCACATCGACATCCACCATCACCTGTTCTAATTCTTGGTTCTCCTTCGGCGGCTGCAGCTCGGCGTCGACCGCTCTGACGACGACTTCCTTCTCCCGGCCCTCCCTCAAGTCGCGCTCTCAGTCTTTATCGCCCATCCTGCGTCCCTCTGTCCTCCACACTGAGCCCGAGTCGATAAGACACTCGTGTTATCCCCGCCCTCTCATGTCGTTTCTTACGTCGGATGACCCGTTATGCCCGGCTGCCACCGCCTCCGCGAGCTCCCATACAGGCTCAGAGAATTCCTCACTTAGCCGCGGTCGTGCCGCACCCGTTGTTCAGGTCGGCTCGGAGCTGTGGTCTGTCAAGGATGGGCTGGTGAAGCGAGTGGGTCGTTCTGTGTCGACGCCCCATGATGGACATGGCGGCACAGTTCCAAGTTCCAAAGGTCACAAGTGAAGGCCACGTTGTTCGGCACGGGCACTGACTTCTCCTGATCCCTCTCTGACTCCCGCTGCCGCTTGGGTTCCCCCTCCTTCCCCATCACCCTGGCGGACGCGCCGTGCCTCTGCACCCTCGCCCTCCGCGCGCTCGCCTTCGACGACGAGCTGTTTGACACGTACTGCACCGAGCTGCCGTCTGACGGAGACCACACGAAGCCACGTCCACTGTTATGCACACCACGTTGACGATGCCTGATCAATATCCCCGTAGAGACTCAGAGGGCACCCGCACGGATGCGCAATTGATCTCTGCCATCCAGCGGACGTGGCTACTGCCGCAGGACGGGGCGCATGACGCCGTGGCGGAGGCGAAGTTCAGTCTGGACTCTCTCGTCGGCGACGAGGGGAGCAACTACTCCGCTGGCGAGAAGCGGATGTTGGTGCTCTATCGAGCGTTGGCGAAAAACAGTCGCATCATCGTCCTCGTCTGGGATGTGTAAGCGCTTGTTGGCGTCTAGTACGGCACCGGAGTCCGCCAGAGTCGCCTTGAGCGCTTGTGCCCCCGCCCCGTCCTCCCGTCCTACGCCGACCTCTGGTCCCTTTCAAAGCATTCGTGCTCTGCTATGTCCACCTCAGCCTCTCTCTATGCCTCAATTCTGGTACAACGGACGTCCGCTTTGGTTTTGACCATGCGTTGATATCTGGGCCGGGGAACTCCTGCCCTCGTATGAGCAGTTGAGTGAACCTCACCGTTTCCACGAGATGTCGACCCTCCGGGCTCCAACATTCTACCTCACGAAGGCTTGAAGATGCTTCGCACCATTAAGTATCAGCAATGTGTGCCGTCTAGAGCCCAATGAACGCTGTACTCGCGATGGTCCCTTCGATGTTGCACCGAAGATATCTCAAGGGGCCGACAACCCGATTCTCGACATTAGGCCCTGCTGTCCCCGTTTTGCAAGAACATGGTCGACGAATCACCCGAGTGTGATCCACCCCGCCGAAGCCGTGCGTGCAGGTGCCCGCGACCAACGTCCGCATCGCGTCTGACCTCGCATGCTCGATTCGCCTCGAGCAGCCAGATGAACCGGCGGGCGCGTGAATGAACAGAAGGATGAGTGAGCGGATGTACGGACGGACGAGTTTGCGGGCGAGTTGTTTGCGAACGCACGAGCTCTACGGGACGAATTGGCGTTGCGAGTTGCGCGCCTTGACGGTCTTCTCGCCGACCACACCAAGGATATCTCCGTCAAAAGTGGGAGCGCGAGCAACTAATCGTCACGATCTGGCACGACTCGGCGCTCGAATCCGCCTTCTCTGCCGTCGTCGTCGAAGACTCCTCGCTTTGCTGGACCGTTGCCGGAGACCCCCAGTGGCGACATCGCGAGCGAACATCTGCGCCTTCTCGGTCGCAATGAACGCCTGGCCGGACTCCCCCCCCCCCTCGCCGCGAATGCAGATAAAGGGCGTTGAGAAGTGCGAGGACGTCGACACCTTCAACGGGACGGAGGTTGCCGCGATCCACTGCTACGTCAAGATATTCGATCGCGAGCCGCCGCTCAGCAGACAATGCAAGCCTGCGCCACATGAGTATATAAAGCGACGGCGAAGTCGACCAACGTGTAGTCAAGCAAGCCCCATGTCCTCCCCTTCTCCCTCGGTCAGCACCCTCTCCGATAACGTCGTCGTCGTCCGCTCTGGGAGGCTCCCCGACAAGTAAGTTGGTCGCCCTTCCCTCATGAGTTGTACCGCTGAGCATCAGTTGACAGAAGAATTCTTGTCTTCTATGTGGCGGAATATCGACTAGGAAGGGTCGCAACTGTTGGCGGCGGGAGCATCATGAGGCCTGGACACCTGGTCTTCATACCTCTCCCTGGCGGTCGTTGTGAGTCTGCCCTTCCAACTCGTTGCTCTCGGCCCGCCACTGACGGCTGCCTCCCGCAGATGCCTTCTTCTGCTGCGGACCTCGCGAGGTGCGAGGAAGGCCTATCGGCTCATGGAACGTTCAAATCGTTGTCCAAGAGGTGAGCGTGCAGCCGGTTCAATGGCTCAGTCACTGAGATGTTGTGCTGTAGTCTACATTGACCGTTATTGGTACGATGAAGTGGCGGACAAGGTTCACTCGGTGACTATGTACGATGACGAGAGTTTCCGTACGCTTGTGTGCCATTGCTTCGGAGGGAGTGGCGACGGCGCTATCTCGCAGGGCGTTGTTAGCTCGCAGAGCACCAGGTCGTCCTGGCGCCACGCCTGTGGCGTCATCGTTTTATACCTCGTCGCTCTTTATATCTCCTTCAAAGCTACGCCTACTTTTGTCTCAGTCACGAAGTACATGTAGAGGATCACTGTCTCCTGGATTTCGAGGCCCTGATTGTTTCCCTTCCCTCACTTTCTTCCCTTCCTCCTCTCACCCTCTTCTCTTTCCACAAGTGCAATGGCTACGTCGCGCATCGAATCTCGCCGTAATACTGTAATTATGATTTAATGCGTTTCAATACAACCGGAGGACCTCTGCTCCTACACCTCAGCCATGCCCCTTGTGCCACTGACGTTGCATTTGCGCGGCTGCGCGCGAGCGACGAACGTGTGCGAGTGCCAGTGGGACGACATCATGCACATTTCGAGCATCTTGTCTTCACTGTCGTCGCTATGATGCAGAAGAAGCTCGGCCACCGCTCCCTCCAGCTGGCATCGGGCGTGCGCGCGTTGATCGGCGAAGTTCGAAGGCGTGCGTTGACATCAAGACATCCCTTCTGTGCTGCGACGACCTGAGGTGGCGACTCCGATTCACCATCTGGCTGTCCAAGCTCCTCCGCGCGCGACTTGAGGTGCCGATGTTTTCGAATTCGACATGAGGATCTCGCGGCGCTAATGACGAATTACGTCATGCTCTCACGCCCCGCGACCTCAGCGCTTCAGTCCGACGACTTGTAGCCTGTCATGCTACATGCGGCGGCGCTCAACGCTCACGGCGTCCACCATCCCGCAGCTGCAGCAGCCCCGTCGCACCCCCGCCGTCACTGTCCGTCCGAGGTCTGCCCGGAACGAAGGGACCCGCCAGCTGGCGGGTTGAAGCACGGCGGCCTAGCCCGCGAGGACGTCCGCCAAGTCGACCGACATGGGAGTCAACATAAGGTGTCGGCGCGACGAATCCCTGCGGAACGTCGGCAGGATATCGCTGTGCGGCGATCTGTAAGTGCGCTCTCCGCGTGTCCTTTCACAAAGCTGACCTATATATGCAGGAGACTGTCGCCGATGGCAGATTCACCGCCACCCGAAATCGACCCACAGGTCCAAGGTGACGACCACCTCCGTTTCACGCCTTCGACCGTGGATGGGACAGTGTCAGCTGTGCGATTCAGTCTCAGCGATCGCAGTGTACAGGCGCGTCTGTGTCGCGGCAAAGCAACAGAGACAAAGGGCGGCGAGCTCCAAGTCGCGCAGCCGGTGGAGCGGTACCATAGGAGGGCTATGCCCGGGCACGAAGAAGAGGTGCGTGGCGTGAAACGTCTCTTTGATTCCATACTAACTCGTTTTCCTGGATAGACGGCAAACATCCTACCCTGTACTTGCCGCGCCGAATGCGCTGGCGAAGACATCGCTTGCCGCGAAGATATCCAAACTGCACCAGATCGTTCGGTCTTGCGTTGGCACAACACAAGACGAAACGATGTGGTGCTTCCTCCGCGTCGAGGTCCAAGTCGACATGGGGTCGTTTCGTCGGACTGGCCCCGCGCCTCGCGCGCCCGTCCGCCGCCCCCCTCTCGCTCCGGTCGTCCGTTTTGGTTTCGACCATGCGTTGATGACCGGATGGTGAGCTCCCGCTCTTGATGAGCGGTAGAGCGAGCCTACTCGCTGTGGCGCAGTGTCCCAGGGTGTTTGTTTGCGCACTTCTCACTGCTGCGAACCGTCGCCTGCGCGCGCTGGACGCAGTGAGCCGTAGGGTCGAGCGCGGGACGACCCGGTTCGCGTGTGAAGTGTAGAGCGTGCTCAAGGCGGAGATGGCAGACAGGTGACCGCCTCGGCCGCGCAGGATATGACACTGTTATGGTCTGGGGCGATTGGCCGTGAGTAATGATCGACGAGTCCACTGCACTCGGCGCAGGCAAGGAGCCCGAAGAAGCGCAACCCGAGCAGATGCAGGTACGCTGCATCAGTATCCCCACTCTTCCCTCGCTCACAATGATACGCGCAGAATCGCTGACTGGCATTACGACGGACGGCATGCTGCAGCGAGAGTGTCTCGTCGATCCCGATGTCAGTGCATACTTGCTCATCATGCTTGATGAGGTGCATGAGCGAACCATCCACACCGACGTGCTGTTCGGTCTGTTGAAGAGTAAGTCAGCAACACTTTCGTGCATGCGATAGCCTGCTGATACGTTCTGCAGAGGCCATGAAGCGTCGCCCAGACCTCAAGGTCACTTCGGCTACCCTCGATGCCGAGAAGTTCGCCAAGTACTTCTTCGGATGCCCTATCTTCACGATACCGGGTCGCACATACCCTGTGGAGATCCTGTATACGAAGGAGCCCGAGACGGACTACCTCGATGCCTCGCTTATCACCGTCATGCAGATTCACCTGTCCGAGCCTCCTGGCGATATCTTGCTGTTCTTGACGGGCCAGGAGGAGATCGACACGACGTGCGAGATCCTGTACGAGCGTCTGAAGGCACTTGGCCAGAAGGTCCCCGAGCTCATCATCCTTCCCATCTACTCCGCGCTGCCCTCGGAGGTTCAACCGCGAGTCTTCGATCCGACGCCTCCTGGCTCTCGCAAAGTGGTCGTTTCACGAAAGTCGCAGAGACCAGCTTGACGATCACAGGCATTTACTGTGTCATCAATCCGGGCTTCTCAAAGCAGAACGCGTACGATCCAAAGCTGGGAATGGACTCGCTCGTCGTTATGCCTATCTCCCAGGCTCAAGCACGACAACGCGCTGGCCGTGCGGGTCGTACGGGCCCAGGGAAATGCTATCGGCTCTACACTGAAACCGCATTCCGGAACGAGATGTTGCCGAGTTCCATTCCTGACATTCAGCGAACGGACCTGGCGCATATCATCCTCATGTTGAAGGCGATGGGTATCAACGATCTTCTCAGCTTCGACTTCATGGACGCGCCGCCCGCACAGACGATGTTGACCGCGCTCGAATCGCTCTATGCCTTGTCAGCGCTGGACGACGAAGGTCTTCTGACGAAAGTGGGCCGCAAGATGGCCGATTTCCCCATGGAACCCCCGCTCGCAAAGATGTTAATCGCTTCGGTGGAGCTGGGGTGTTCCGAGGAGATCCTCTCCATTGTAGCGATGTTGTCCGTTCAAAGCATCTTCTACCGTCCTAAGGAGAAGCAGGGACAGGCAGACTCGAAGAAGGCCAAGTTCCATCAACCAGAGGGCGACCATCTGACGCTACTGACCGTGTACAACGGCTGGAAAGCGAGCAACTTCTCGAACCCGTGGTGTTACGAGAACTTCATTCAGGCGCGAAGCATGCGAAGGACACAGGATGTACGGAAGCAGCTGTTGGGTATCATGGATCGGTGCGTTGCAATCGGGCACTCGTATGTTTTCCGTTCGTGACTGACTCATCTGGTACCTTTATAGTTATGAATACGGGATCATTTCAGCCGGGCGAGACTACAATCGCGTCCGTAGAGCTATCTGCTCCGGGTACTTCCGTCACGCGGCAAAGAAAGACCCGCAGGAGGGCTACAAGACGCTCGTGGAGGGCACGCCAGTGTACATCCACCCGTCGTCCGCGCTAGTCAACCGTAACCCTGAGTGGTGCATCTACCACGAGCTCATCCTCACGACGAGAGAGTACTGCCATAATGTCACAGCCATCGAGCCCTAGTGGCTGGTCGAAGTGGCGCCACAAAGGTCGCCGACGCGAACAAGATCAGCAAGCGGAAGAAGCAAGAGAAAATCGAGCCGCTGTTCAACAAGGTACGTTTTTTGTGTCTTGAAGGGATGACGGATTACTTACAACGGTCTGCAGTACGAATATCAGACGAATGGAGACTGTCAAAGATCAAGAGGAGTGCTCGCTCGGTATGTCGCCATCTGTTTGGAAGTTGTTCAGTTTCTGATACGCTTACAGAGTCAAACTTTCGGCTGAAACATGCTATATGCTCAAATCTTGACGGCGTGGACACGTGCAATATCGGGTTGAAGACACAGCGTGCGCAGCCGCCTTGCTCTCGTCCCGCAAGACAACGTGCTCTTCAAGGGAGCACTCCGTCAGAACCTGTACGTCCACTGTCATGCACACCACGTTGACGATGCCTGATCAATATCCCCGTAGAGACTCAGAGGGCACCCGCACGGATGCGCAATTGATCTCTGCCATCCAGCGGACGTGGCTACTGCCGCAGAACGGGGCGCATGACGCCGTGGCGGAGGCGAAGTTCAGGCTGGACTCTCTCGTCGGCGACGAGGGGAGCAACTACTCCGCTGGCGAGAAGCGGATGTTGGTGCTCTATCGAGCGTTGGCGAAGAACAGCCGCATCATCGTCCTCGTCAGTCTCAGTCCCGCCGTGCTCGTACAGGGGTTTAGGCGCTGATGTCGATCGTTCTAGGACGAGGCGACGAGCAACGTTGACCTGCAGATGGACGCGGAGCTGTTTCCGATGAAGTGGTCATTGCGCTGAATGCGGTAGGTTGTACATATAGTAGTCAGTAGTGTATCAATCGTTCTCAGACCGCTGCGTCGGCGGTCACATTGCCGAAATTGGATCTAAGTTGCTTTTGCCACTGACTGTCATGATCGCTGTGGATGGTAGTACATGTCGTAGTTGGCTATCGCATCCACTGTCGAGGTCGATGTCGAGATCGTTGTCGAGATCGCTGATTCGTTTTCAATGTGGTCGACATTGTGTTCGACGTGGCGTTCAAGATCGTCGTCGAGATCGCGGTCGACGTCGCGGTCGGCGTCGCGGTCGGGATCGTGGTCGGTGTCGCGGTCGGGATCGTGGTCGGTGTCGAGATCGTGGTCGATGTCGCGGTCGAGATCGTGGTCGGTGTCGCGGTCGAGATCGTGGTCGATGTCGCGGTCGTTGTCGAGATCGAGATCGCGGTCGTTGTCGAGATCGAGATCGCGGTCGTCGAATTTGGTATCGTGTTGCCTTGTACCAGGTCTGGAAAGTTCGTGTATTACCTGAGTATTCTGAACGAGTATATTTCGAATAGTCGTTCCCTGTTTCATGTATATCCTGGGCCAGGAAAGCTATCATTGTCTTACAATCTGTTCGAGAAAAGTGTGCGGGGAATATGTAGCATGCTCTCGACATACTTGAGCGGAGCATATTACGTGACCCATATCTGGGCAACAAACATTTGTATTATATCGTACCATGTTCCGCCTCCGTGTATCTTAGGATTACTTAAGCAATACCCGCAATATCCTTGTGCGAAATATCGTCAGGATTCTTTAGCTAATCATCACATGCCCTCACCATATTCCTGCCCAGAACATCGCATTTTGCCCCCAGTGCAGGTGGACCGTAGGCAGGCGGATGGACGGGCGGACGGCTGGGCGGGTGGACGAGTGGGTAAGCGGATGTGTAGGAGAGCAGGCAGACGGGAAAGCGGGCAGGCAACATCGCATGCTAACTGCGAGCGTGCTCGGCAAATGCTCAGCACGCAGACGCAGCCAACAAGTGGACGCAGGCGGGCGAACGAGTGTGCAGGCGGGCGAGCAGGTATACGGGCGGATAGACAAGCTGGAGGGCGGATGGACGAGCAGGCCGGCGGACAAGCGGGTACCGGACGGCTGAGCGAGCGAGCGGATGGACGGATGGACGGCTGAGCGAGCGAGCGGATGGACGGATGGACGGCCGAGCGGGCGAGCGGATGGACGGGCGGACAAGCGGGCAAGTAGGCAAGCGAACAAAGAGGTGAGCGGGAGGGCACGCGGACGAGCAGGTGAGTGAGAGAGTGGGTGGATGGGGGAGCGAGAGGGCAAGTGGGTAATGGAGTGCGAGGGCGAGAGGGCAGGCGAACACAGGACGCGGACCAGCACCACATGCACGGCGACCACGAGCGTGCAGGGCGAATGCCCAGCACGCAAGCGCGGCCAACGAACGCGAGGTGGGCGCGTGAGCGAGAAGCGGGTGACCGCGACGGTGGGCAGGGCCAGGGCGCACGCAGCACATAGAATAGATCAGTCTGGGATTTGTTTTGTTCAATCTGCAAACATCGCGTGTGCGTGCAATGTTCAACGTACAATGAGCTGTAATAGCGGAATATAATTTATATATACAATGAATGTGTAATCATCGAGTCCAGTATGTATCGCGCTGCAACACCCATTACGACTCGAGACTCGGCTGAGAATTAGTACAGTACACTAGATATCTCTATTGCACACGAGAATATTGTACTACATCTCATCTGCTGTGGTAAATGCTACTAAACATGTATCTAATCCCCATTCCAGCATACAATCCATGCACACACGGTGCTGAAACGTCCCGATCACGAGTCGTAGGTATGTTGCAGGCCTAAGTAGGACCGTTAAACGTGTTCTGATTGGCTAGGAACAGCCCGAGCACATCGGGGTTGCCAAATCTGGTGGGACGACAAATAGACACAAACGTTGAGTTTACGGGCGCCCGCAAGGCTCACGTCACTTCCGTGTGCTACTGTAACTCTACCCTTCTGCTTCCATGGCCGACTATGCACGGAAGACAACGGATGAGGTTCCAAGGCGGAGTCAGGGGTGGGTTTAACCAGGTAAGCTTGCCTGGCCTAGTCATCTATGCACGCACTAATTTACTACCCACCCCAGAGCGCAGAGCGACCCTCTTGTCGACGAGTCTGTCAGACGGTGCGTCGACGAGTGTGTTGAATGCCACGTCCACAAGTAGGGTGAGTGTGTCGGCCGGTACAAAGGGATGCGCTCGCTCGGGCAGAACCTGACGGAGGCGCATGACGGGCACAAACAGCGCACCGACAATGAGCGCGAATCACGCGTCAACAAGTGCGTCGACGCACACGTCGGGCGCCGCATCGACGAGCACGTCAGGCGCCTCATCGACAAACATGTCGGGCACAGCAATGACGGACGCGTCGGGCACTGCGTCGACGAGCATGAACGGCGCGTCAGCGAGCACGACCCACCCATCAACAGGAATCGCTGCATGGCAAGTGCAACTGCAAGCACTACGCGCGGTGAGCGAGCCTTTGGGCAGGGCGCACGAGGCATGCCAGTGGGAGCCTACGGACGACGGGTGGGAGGACGAACTGTGTGGGCCTATGGGCGACGGATGGGAAAGTGATGGGTGGGACGGCGATGAACAGGTGGGCGACGAACAGGAGTAGTATGGCGTAGTCAGTGATGGAGTGTTATCCGCCTACTCTGTAGTGCTTAGTATACTGTGTATTGACGAGATTACGGAGATCTCTAAGGCCGCTGCATTTGACCGAGCGTGATAATTTGTCAGGGCCTCGAACATACCAAAATAGGAGGGCTGCCTTGGCCCTTCACGCGAACAAGGCTTGGAGCAGTCATTGTCATCGTGACGAACAAATCCTTGAGTGTATGTCGTGGAGCGCGACATGTGCAGCATATATGTCCTGGGGCACGACATAGATGTTATCCATCTGCCGGATCTAGATACAAACCATCTAGGCACGGTGCCAAAGAAATCACTATATACTATATTTGGTCATGATCTCGGACAGTCTAGGTACTCGGACACCGAGCCCCCAACAGCTACGTACGCCTCCTATCTCCGGATTTTCGACACATATACCTCAGTTAGCCTTCTGTTATACTCTCTGCGAACTCACAAGCTGCTGCGATAAAAACTGGACTCACAGGGATGATCATCGGGGGATGATGTCCAGATTTGGTAAGTGTCAGCTGACCGCCCTCACCTCGCGCGTTCCTCGCTCTCTCTCTTGCCATCGCCCCCTACCCAGCGGCCATTCCTTCCTCGTACGTTCATCTCCTACTTCGTTTGTGCTGATCACGAGGGTCATAGATGGTGTTTAGTAGGGTACAGGGTCCAGTTACCCCTTCGGCATGCTGGTCATGCCCTCCCAAACATCGCGTGTTTGCTGACCCACTCCGAAGCGATCTTCGACCCAAACGCCATATGCCTGTACGTATGGGTCAATTCGCCGTGCCTCATTCACTGAACGGTCCCAGTTTATTTTTAGCTATTTATTTGGGCTCACCAGCACGTCATCCAACAACCTCTCATCGACGGGTTCATGCCCAACTCTTCACCCCCAGAAGTCGGACACGGCCGAGGATGTGCCAAATCAAGGTACGAGTATCATCATAAAGTTCAATAATATTAACTTCAACTCATTCTACCAGCTCCTGCCGACTTCCAGTCCACAGAAGACAGAAGGCAGCGTTAGCTCCCCACACGGCCGCCGAAGGGCTCGCGATGGTTCATGATAGGAACACAAACCAATGAAAGATGGAGGGTATATAGGGCTGGTCGATGTAAGTGCTTTGCGTCAGTTCCCGTTCCCTCCTCACTCCTTGACATGGTCATGAGGTTTGACTACAACTCAGACGACGACAACGATATGCCTCCGCTCGGTACTGTCGGAGATTCAGATGACGAGGAGGATTATTCTCGGCCGTGGCATTCAGCCCGTGACTACGAGTACACACTAGCATCCCCACCCCCCAGCAGTTCGGCCAACGACGACAACGAGAGCACTGATGGCGCCGAACACACTGGCAGCGAATCTGATGGGGAGAACAGCGAGACTGATGACGACACAGCCTCTGATGTCAGCGATGACGAGGATGGCAACGACTCCTGGCCTGAACTGTCAGGCGATGATGCTGGTGTCAATGATGTCGACGGTAAGTATCTCCGAAACATCTACTGCTACTTTGCTAATCAAAATTCCCTCATAGATGATGATGAATCAAACAGCGACGAGGAGCCTGTGCACGGCGAAGGCACGGCAGGCCAGACCAGCTCCGGTGAGTACAGGGAGGTGTTGCCATCTTGTTCATGCACTCATGTTTCTGGCAGACAAGGCAGAGCTCACGCGTGGCGAGGCTGCAGGCTCACCTGAGCCTGGCGCTGACTCCGAGTTGCAGTCTGGTGAGTAGAATGACGTGTCCAGCTATTATGATACACTACTAACATTTTTCTTCTAACAGACTCCTCGGATGATGCTAAGCCGGTGGATGAGACACCGAGGACTGCGAAGCAGCGCCGAATCCAGGCTGCACTTGCAGCCATCGAGGCGTCCGGCCTCAAGCCCAATGGGAAGCCGAAGACGTCTATCCGCAGCGCCGCCAAGACCTTCGGCATCGCGCCGTCCACTCTGAACGACCACTGGAATGGGAAGAAGTCGCGTGTCGAGGCGCACATCCCACAGCGCAAGTTAAACCCCGCGGAGGAGGACGTACTCGTTGAGTGGCTCAAAGAGGTCGGGCGGCGTGGTATGCCGCTCACGCAAGAAGCTGTCGTCGACCATGCGTCGGCAATTGCAGGCGTCCCCATCGGAACATCGTGGTATCGCCGCTTCAAGAAGCGCCATCCGGAGTTGGCAGTTCGCTGGGCGACGAAGCTTCAAGCCTGCCGCGCAAAGGCCCTCAACCGTCCGAAGGTCACGCGATACTTCAATATCTTGACGCAGGTCATCGAGGACTTCGATATTCCCCCCGAGAACAGGTGGAACATGGACGAGAAGGGTGCCCAGCTCGGCGTCATGGATGACATCAAGGTCCTCGTCGACCGTGACCAGAAGGATGTCTACAACATCGAGAATGGTAACTGTGAACTAATCACTATTATCGAATGTATCTGCGCTGACGGGACCGCAATCCGCCCTTGCGTCATCTTCAAGGGGAAGCGTCTGAACAAGACTTGGGGTCTGGACAACCCTGCGAATGTGAGGTAAGCTTGATGCTCATCACCACGCCACAAACTAACCTAATTCATTGGATGATATAGCATTGCGGTCTCGCCTAACGGATGGACAGACAATGAGCTTGGCACTCTGTGGCTGAAGAATGACTTCGAGCCGCAGACTGCCTCCCGGAATGTCTCCGGAAAGCCTCGGCTCCTGATCCTTGATGGACATAACTCACACTGCACGTACGAATTCTGCTGTTTCGCTGAGAGCCATAATATACAAATCGTTTGCCTGCCGCCGCATACCACACACAAACTCCAGCCGTGTGACGTAGGAGTCTTTGGGCCCCTCGCGAAGATCTGGAAACGACATGTGAGGCATGTCTTCCAAAAAAACGGCTTCATCTCGAAGCAGAACTTCCTCAAACATTACGCCGCCGCTCGCTCGCGAGCATTCCAGACTTCGACCATCCTCTCTGCATTCAGAAAAACCGGGATTTCGCCGCTTGATTCGTCTGTGATCCCCGACGATGCTTATGCCCCCGCTCTTGTGACAACTACGCAGAGTGCTCCGGTTGTCCCAAACCGGAACCTGTTCCCACACATCTTGGTTCCCTTCTCGGATGAAATCGCCGACGATTTCAACCTTCCCTCATCCTCTGCGGCCGCTGGCCCCTCAACTCCTGGTCCCTCGACTCCTGGCCCCTCGACATCTCCTCACCGCTCTGATCAAATGGCTCCCGCTCAGATCAGGACGGTCGCTATCATCCCTGGACTCCCACCCCTACTTCCACCCAACGCGCCGCGCCACATGCTCGTCCAGGCCAACTCGCAGCTGCGAACCATCGCCGATGCTGTGTGCACTCAGGCTTACCACGATCGTGCGCTGCTTTCACTCAAGGACCGCGAGGTTGTTGCCCTGCGGCAGCAGTTACACTCGAAACTCAAGGCCTCGCCAGGCAAAGCCAAAGGGAAGGGGAAGGGCCGTAACAAGAAGGGTGGGGATGGCGAGGCAAGACACTTGACAGGCGAGACCGTCCTCGCTTCCCTCGCCCAGGAGGAGGTCGATGCGAAGGAGCGGGAGACTGCGAAGGCCGATGCTGCAGCCGAGCGCAAACGGAAGGCGCAGGAGGCTGCAGCCAAGAAAGCCGAGAAGGTCATTGAGTGTCAGCGCAAGGCGGAGGAAGCAGCAAAGAAGAGGGTGGAGATGCAGGCTGCACAGCTCCGTAAACGGGAAGAGGCCGAGAGGAAGAAGGCGGAGAAGGAGGCAGAGAAGGCAGAGAGGGAGGCGGCGAAGGCAGCAAAGGCGATCGAGAAGGCTGCAGCGCAGGCTGCAAAGGCTGCAGAGCGTCAGCGCAAGGCAGAAGAGGCAACGAAGAAGAAGGAGGAGAAAGCTGCTGCTGCCGCCGCTAAGGGTGCACGGGCCGCCTCAAAGGCTCGCACTGCCAATCAAGCCCAGCTGCCTGAGAGCGACGCAAGCATGGATCCTGCAACGCCTCCCAGTGTAGGGGTACCACAACCACCCGCCGCTGCCAGGCCCCGCCCCCGCCCTCGCCCTCGCTATGGCCACACCGCAGCTGGCAACATCGCCACTGCCGCTACTCATGGCCCCGTTGATGCAAGTAGCATTGACACGACTTCCTCGGTCTCTTCTATTGCAGACAATCCGCACCCTCCCATCGCTATCCAGTCCCGGCCTCGTCCTCGTCCTCGCTATCAAGGCGCACTCGCCAGTCGCAGCGCCGCAGCCCCGGCAACTTCCAACCCTCCCTCCGCACCACCCGTTCCTCAGGCCGCTGCGTCCGTACCCATCATTCCCGCTGCATCCGCCGCCGCGAACGTGAGCGAACTCGAGCGAGTCGAGGAGCCCGAGCCCGCCGCAGCTGCACCAGATGGTACCGATACCGGAGCGACTATCCCAGCTGCCGCCCCTCCTCAGCCACCAACTACACGCCGCAACCCTCGCCGCAATGTCACTGCTAAGTGAGGAACGTATGTGCATTGTCCTCCTCACGTATTATGTATTGTTTTTCCTTGCTTCGCACTCTCTACATCGCTATACCCTGGGTTTCGTTGCCGGCGCTTGTGTGGGCGCTTGTTGTAGGACCGTGTCCGAGTACGCCGTCGGGCTACAGAATTGGACTGCCGTCGCGAATATATTCACCATGCTCTCGTCTTTGTACATTAAATTTATATGACCATCTCAGCAGTTGCGTATGATGCCCTACCATGGTCTGACATCGAATTTTGGGTAGTTCCACTGTGTTTCAACTCGGTAGGTGTCTTTCGATGCTTAGGTGTCCGAGATCATGACCAAATATAGTATGGTACTGTACCTGGCCCCAGAAAACGTTAGATCTCGCTGATCACTCGTTGCGATCGCATTCGCCCGATGGGCCCGCGACAGGACCCAAAAAGGAAGAGCGCGCGACGGCACCCATTTTGGGTAGTGCCGCCGCCGCGAGCTCTCCCGGGCGCCGGGGGACCGGCGGGGGTGACCTGGGCGGTCCATAAAGGGCAGCTGCCCTGTCGGGTAGTGAGCGGGACGCCGGCTGCAGTGATTACTGCGCCTTCATACATGAAGGGGAACTGTAAGTACTGGGATTTATGTATGACCTGTTTGTGCTAACAACAGGTATTCATACATGAGCATGCCAGCATCTGGTGCGTTTACTCGCTGATGTTGAAACAGAACACACTTGAAAGGACGTGCTGTGACCACCCACCCAACACCTTCTTCAGCTGCACCATGCCTGTGGGACATGCGGCCCCCACCTCGTCTAAACACTGCCTCAGATCGACTCCGCTGCCCCCTTTGCCAGCCCCGCAGCGCCCCGCGCGGGATGAAGTCTTGAAGCAAATGTGGAAGTTGCAGCTCAGACGACGGAACCGTGCACAAAGCTCGTCTGGCCATGGTGGCTGATGTGCGTTCGCAAGACGGGCACGAGTGCAGAGGGACACTCTGTAGTACAATGTGTACGTCCACGAGGGCATACGCCTAACGTGCGCCGAATCATCTTATGAGACTGATTTGACGACCTATTAGTCAGGTAGATTCCTCGTCAACCAGTGTACTGAGCAGTATGCGTGACGGACACTTGTCCAGGTCCTCCCTCATCTCAGCGCACTCGGACGAAAGATACTCACAACGACCTCTCCCCCTTGATAAACTAACTTTTATGCTCTGGACTACAATGGTTGGCATTCTCTGATGATGTCATCTACGGTGTACGGACTAGGTATATCCGAACGCAAACCGCCCATATTTCTTGACGGTCGACGGACTATGCCTTGTTGCGTAAGTCCGGTTGTCTTGGTCCTGTTTCCGCCAACCTGCTGAATGTGAAGAGTTATCATTAGCCTGCGTCCTCCTCCTCTCAGAGGTCTACCATTACCAAGGTCGCAGTCTCTCAGATCATCGCGCGGACGCGTACGAGATCTGGGACAATGCCAGTACATATATCAGCACATCTGTACAGGCAACCAGCGCTGTTACACAGGCGTACCGTCTTCATCCGTGTTCATGGGGTCTATCAATCAGCTCGAGTCAGCGAACGCGCCAGGAACTACACGATAAGAATGACGAACCTGCGACGCGCTTTTCCGGAGTGACCACGGCCGCGGCGTGCGACAGTGCGACGAGGAGGAGGACAGCAAGCGCAAAGAGGGAGGTGCGGGCCTGCATGGTGACGGCGGTGTACGATGTCGAACTCGGCGGGTGCGTCTGTTCGTGCAGGTCCACGCGCGTCGCGGCTTACGCTTCTTATTCTCTCCGGCCGCACCTCCATTTCGGCGCAGTCATGTGTCGCACCGCCGATAACCTCGCAGCATGACTACTTTGAGCTTCGCAGCGCCCGACGCCTGCCAGTGTCGACGTTACCCCGGTGCGCCCACACTAGTCCGCACTCCCGTGCTACTTTCAGCTGTTTCCAAAACGATAGACCCCACATCAAAAAAACGCCCTCAGGCGGAGTTAAGAGTATCTCTTTTTGGTCAGCTACGGAGACTAGTACGACAGGCCTTCTCGGAGTCCACCGTGTTTCAAAAAGCCCGAATTGGCACTGCACTGGCTTGTCAGACCTGTTGACTGATAGGACTGTATGAGCTCGTCTTGTAACAATCGCTGCACGGCCGGTACTGCTGGAGCACAACATCGAGATGCCGTGCTGCGTAGTCGGTCACTCGAACAACACATATTTATGACCCCATTATACACCTCAGTTTGAACTGAAGGGAAGCGATGCCTCGTACAAGCTACGTGGTCGTGTTCCTCCCATCCAACCGCTGCCTATGGTCCTGCTGATTCCTCTCCACCGCATCATACACCGCACGGAAGTCGCGACACCGATACGTCCCCCTCCGATCGACATTCTCGGGGGTCCAAAAGTCCGCAAGGAACGTCTCGAGGTGCATGTCCCCGCGACACAGCACCATCTGGCGGATGTAGTTCATGCAGTGCCGCGCACGCTCCATGTCGCGCTCCTCGAGCGGCACGCGGTACTGCGCGCGGAGGACGTCGAGGCAGCGCAGCTGGTGGAACATCGAGAGCATGTGTGGCTGCGGTTCGTGCCCGTCTGGGCCTGCGACGTAGACGAGGTCGTCATGGGGCACGAGTGCAGCCCACTGGAGCTCCGCGTCCAGCCCGTACCGCTGGTAGTGGTCGAACTGGAAGTGCACGGGCTTCCGCTCGACGTCCCATAGCGCGGACGTGAGTTCTGGTGGGTGCTGTCAGGCGGGCTTATGCGGCGATGGGGCAGGCAAGGCGTACCTTTGCGTGCGATACCGGGCTTCACGCCGGATGGGATGCGCTCCGCCCATCGCAAGTAGGTCACTTTTCCGAGGAGGCTCGCGGCGAGCAGGGTGCACGCCGCCCAGATGGTCAGTGCCTCCAGGTTCTGCTTCATCGAGAACATCATGCTTCGCTAGGGCAATAGTGCGCGGACAGCCTGTAAAGCGGATGTCAACTCAGCTTACCACACCCACGACCTTCCAGGCACATTTACCCAAAGTATCGAGTGGCAAGACGCAGACAGCCTTCGTGGCGGCCAGCCGACGCACTCGAGCGCTCCCCTTCGACCCACTATAAACCGCAGGGATGTATCCGCCGGGATCACGCGTACTGTACATGCGGAGCAGCAAGTTCGGGCGAGCCCCAAACGCGAGAAGTCCCCGCAAGACCTTCCATCTAGAGCGGCTGCCTCCGCGCCGCCAGCTCTAGACAGACCGGTTCTTCCATTGGCAGCCTTCCGCCGATGCGGCTCGAAGAGCACGGGCGCCGACACCTCAGTACGGAAACGCAGCGCAGGAGAAGCTCGGATGCTATCGCAGCTACGGGTCAGACTGAGATACACCCAACGGGCTAATCTTGGATGTATCTACCATGGTCCACTGATATCCGTGCGGTATGTCTTCGAGTCTCAGTCGCGGACATCGTGTCACGTACGGCAGAGGGCTGTGGATGATCAATACCAGAGCACAAGACGTAGCATACATGCCTGGAGCCGCCACGACGTTCGTAAATAGAAAATCAGGATGGTCGGATTAATTACCCTGGCCTTTGTGTGGTGGTGGATGCCAGAATTGTACACACGTCTCCTGATGCTCTGCAACTCAGCGCTGCCTACAGCGTGCTATCGTCTCAGCGTTCCGGTGGCTTGAAAGTAGGATTTCGGGGTATCGCGTTGACTACCATTCTTTGACGCGAGCAGCAGCAGCACGACATGCCATTGCCAGTGTTGCGTGTCCCTGGGGAGCCATCGTTGGAACACGCGTAGTCCGATCATAGTGTCAAAGCGCATCGAATGAAACTATCGTAAACGCGTTCGACATCACGCTCGGCCTGCAAAACGAGAACGTCAACCAATTTATGAGGCAGGATCCAAGACCGATAAAATTACGCACGGCTCCCTTGTGATACCTGAATTTTGGTCAACTCTTTGAGGACGTTGTTCCAGCTCCTACTAGAATATATGCCTCTCCCTGAGCTCCGCTCGGCGCAGAGTCTGGGGAAGAGCCCGGCCAGGAACTGCGCGATCTTGATGACGTCCGCAGGGACCATGTCCGAAGGCCGTAGAAGGCGCAGCTCCTGAAGCCCGTGTCCGCCTGCGTTGGAAGACGACGCGTCACGTAGAGAGCCATCATGCTGGTCCAGAGTCGATGCAGGTATATGGCGGAAGTCCTCAGACAAGCCTTGTGCCGTCAGGCTCTGTAGATGAGGGCAAGCGCGTGCGGCGGCCCGAAGCGAGTCCGGACTGATCACAACTCCATGGAGGAGAAGCTTTCGTAGGTTGGGCCATGCGGTCAGCATGGTAGGCCCCGGAAACTCTAGAGGTTTTCTGAAGCCAAAGGACACCAAAATGCTGAGCTCGCGAAGGTGCTGAAATTGTAGCGTCGGTTTCAGCAGCGTGAAGATTGACGCTCCAAACTCGGACGACTGCGTAGAGTCTCGGCGCGGGTTGTACTCCAACCCGCGCAAGTCCAAGTGGACTTTCCGTATTGATGACTTGTTCCGGGAGCACAGTGTGCCCAGGACGGCACGTATTGCGGCAGCTGCTACGACAGAACTCTCTCGCAAAGTACTCTCCAGCTGGATGTCTTCCAGTTCGGGCGCAACGATTGCATCGACGAGGGTCGCTATCGCTGTGATGCGGCTGGTGATCTGCAGGTGTCGCAGCTTCGACAAGGGGTGGATCGACCCTTTGTCCCAGTCGTCTGGCTGGAGATCATAATTGGCATGATCATCCCAGTCTGATTCTGGGAAGCCTATATTCAGCGATGCAAGCTCCTGGATGGTAGAGACGACGGGAAGGGCACCGCCCATCAGGATGGGGAACGATTCTGATATGTGGAGGATGCGGACGTTCTGGGCGACAAAACAGCGGTTATGTGGAGGCGCGAATTGGTCCCAGAAGCCGGGATGTCCGAGTGGCCGGATACGGAGTTCACGTAGTTCGGGAATACTGCAAAGTATACCAGGGAGCAACGTTGTGAACGCGTGCCGCCGCATGCGATACCCGATCTCGTCCGTATGATTGTTATTCTCTTCGCCATCCAGATCCAGAAGTCGAATGCTGGGTGAGATGACCGAGACAATCTCAGGAGTGGCATGGCCCCATATGAGCTCGCGCAAGTTGGGAAAGAGTGGTGTGCCGTGTGTGTGCTGATGGAGGTAGAAGAAGACAGAAGAATCAAGTCTCTCATCGTTGTAGAGAATGCGGATGAACTGCGCATATAACTCGAAGCGTGACCATTCGTCTCTTCGGATTGGCCCTGACAGGTAACCCTGCTCACGAGCCGTCAAGACCGTGTCATTGCCGCTACTACAGACTCACATCAGTACGGGGATGAAAATCCTTATCAACGCTCCCGCCCCAGTCTTCATTCCCTTCAACATTGACGTCAGATTCCTCATCCTCGCTGTCTTCATTCCGGAGGCCCCTAACGCAGGGAACAACGAAACTCGGGAGGATAGCCCGACACACATCGGTCAACACCCGTGCTTCCCAAAGAATCCTGAACGCTGGCCTTTGAAAGGCGCGGCATGCCCTGGCACATCTAGCAAGAGCTGCACAGCCGCCGTCGGCGTGCGACTTGATGAAGCTGTTGTAGGGGGTCCACCGCCTTGATCATATGGTGTCAGCAAGTACCGCAAGATCTCCTCGACCACATCAATCGGAACCACTAGAGGAGCTCTTGGATCGGACATAAGGCTAGGATGGTAGAGATGACCTAAGGTTGACCTAAGGTCTGCGCAGTGCGCGACGTCACCTGATCGTGTGTGGACAGTAGTGACTAGTGGGTGTCCGACGTGTCGCTCTCTCAGTGTCCCACACTTCCTCTCGTGATAAAATACTGAAATCTACTACTTCGTACGCCTTGTTGATGTATGAGCAGCACGTCGGGACAAGGTTCAGCCAGAATGAAGGCCAGAGTATCCGTGCGATGCACACACACATCGACTGGTGCCAACAGGTGCCAACAGCCTAGTAGTACTGCACCGCCGTTGACGATGAGCAAATAGGGACAGATCATCAACAGGCCGATGGCGGCGCTGTCCCAGATGTCTGGCCAGGCTATGTAGCAACAATGAGTGGACCTGGGATGGTGACGACTCGGTCGCAGCAGTGAAGGATGGTTCCGGTGCCTCCAAGCCACCCAAGTCCGACTCAGAGTGATGGTTAAGTTAACGTTATGGACTGACAGAGGCGAGAGAGTAAGCCAATCACAGCTCACATTATGCTCAGTACGCGAGAAGCATGTTTGTTACGAATACATAGCGTCGCAGCAACCACGGGTCGAGGACTCGAGCGAATGACAGAACACGTCGTACGGCAGAGTCGACGCCTTGTGTCGTCATACAGGGCAGTCATAGCCGATGTATTTCGCTTGTAAAGTTGTTATCCACTAAGCTCTCGTATGAAATGAATCTGATCACGACACACACCTTTTTCACAGCATCGACAACCGCCACGAAACCGACGTGATGGCAGCTTACACTCATCGAGGCTTGATGGCGGGTCCCGTCGGCTTCTTAACGGACCCTCTTGTGTCGCTCTGCTTGATAGGGCCAGGGATGATCTCGCTCCACATCTTTAAACCTGGTAAGACTGCAAGTAAGTATCAACAGTATGAGACCCACCGTTTACAACGGTCTGAAATAACATGGGGATGTATGCTTACCAACGGAAAGGATATGGGGCGCGTCCTAAGTGGTGATACGACTTAGCTATGATGAATCTGCAGGCTGAGGCTGAGCAATGTCCACCGAGAATGCGCCAATCCCCGCACCTTATATACAAGTGCCCGCTCACACCGCCTCCTGAAGTTCTCAAACGTCAGCCACGCGTCTTCTGGATCTCCGGCGACGCTCCATCGGAACGCTAGTCTCGTGTCCCAGAATTTGACAGCGGGGCCGGTCCGAACACGTTGCCCAGCACGAGCCGCATACAATTAAAGTCGGAGGCTGTGCGAAGGCAGGCGTGTTGGATGGGTCCGAGAATCGAACGGCAGTGCCTGTTGAGGAATGCGCTGACCCTTGGGTTCACGACCAATCGTCGATTTGAACGTAAGATGACGGAGGACTTGCGTGAGTTTGTCAAGGGTCAGCGGACTGCGACATTGCCTGAGAGTGAAGGAATATCGCACTGCCCGCCCGCTCGAAATTGAACCTAATACACATGCGTAGCTTGGCGCCTGTGTATTCGGTTTCAAGGTCGGGTTCTCAGTCATGGAACGTTCCACTCGTCAGCGTGAATGAGAACGAAGGAATATTGTAAGCTCACCATGTTTGCGGCCGCCAATCACAGACAGTTCATGCCTCACTATGAGAACAAATCCTCTGCCAAATCGGTAAGTAACTCATATCCGAGTACCAGTAGAGCTCACTCTCTAACGTGTACCTGTCATAGCCTAGGACCCGCGCAGCTGATTTGCCCAACAATATCATCTACAAAAATTCCCCGTACCCGTACACTGAACACTGATGCGGTGACAGCAGTCTGGAATGGCAGATCGACAATGCGTGGATAGGACAACCCGAGGCGCGCGATCTACGAACAAGTGCACAAGAAGGAGCTACGTCGCAAACCCGATACTCCAGGCCTATCGTGTTGCGCGAATCGCAATTCCGGACCAAGTGATCAAGGCACACGCGATTGCGAGTCAACCAAAGGGAAAGTTCAGTCACAGAATCTACTCCGACATGAGAGTCCACGACTCACCTGGAGGGGAAGCCAACGCTGTAGAATACGACATGCACCTAGCATTGGTACGTCTTGGGGCCGGTCGGCTTGTTAACTGGCTTCATAGGTCTCACGACCGTCGGCCTGTTCAAGGCCCCGATAGGGATCACTTGCACCGGAGGCTGCGTCGACATGGACTGCGGCCGCGTGCTGGTCGTGCCATTCCTTGTACGATTGCGAGTCAGCGACCACGCTCCGAGCCCACACGATAGCAATCACGTATGCTACTCACTTGGAAGATGAATAGTACATCGCGTTGGCGAACATGTTGCGATCTCTGACTCTGGGTGCGGGTCTGCTGGTCTAGCTTGAGCAGCCGGGCTTATATACCGGAACCCGAGAGCGGGCAATTGGCAGTGTACTGAAAGGCCGCGTCCACAAAGAGATAACTACACAGTGACACGTTCATTTCCGCCTCGAGGTTTCCTGCTGGGGTCCGTGCGTACCTGTCTTCTACTGTCTTCTCCGCGCCCACATACAGTAGGCCGCGGTGCGGGCTACCAGCTGTAGAAGCTTCGACAGGGTCCTCACTCGTTGTTCCGCAGGGTTCCTTCAAATAACGATCGAACGCAATCAGCGTCGCCTGCTTAGTGAATAGCGAGGTACATACATGCTTTCACGACAGATGGCAGGTATGTGTAAGTGGATTACTGCGACTGTCAGTCAGAAGTAGAGACATATTTACCGATAGCTTCGTACGCACTATACAGAGAGGAGCATGTATGACACGTTGTATCAAAGCTTCGATGCGTGAGACCTGTGTGGACTCTGAAGAAGTCAGGTTCATTCAAGCCGCGGCAATGGGAATGAGCAGCGCACCAGTGAGCTTGGATATTGAACCTAGACACGGCTTCGGTCAAAGGCGATCTCGGAGACCAACTCACAGCTCAGAGAGCACATCGTCTGACTCGTGGGTAGCGCAGGACGCAGGCAACGCTGCGTACACGTCTGCTGAGCGGGCAATGCCTACATATATCACCTGGCTAACTTTGCACGACTCGAACACACGTTCTTGTCCTGAATCAAACGCAGTATCTCGGAGTGTGTGCAACGCGGCCGGGCAAGGCAGCTGCATCAGCGGAACGCAGACATGGATAAGGCAGAACGGACAAGTCGTAGCTTACACGACACGTGGTCCAACTACTTGTAGTAGTCCTGGCGTAACATCTACGGACGCGAAGGACCGTCCAACATTCGGTCAGCCGTCATGCTGGCTAAAAGAGGCCCCTCAGCCTCAGCTCGACGAGAATATGACGAACCGAATCCTATCACTCACCGTCCGCCGTGCCCGCTGCAGCCTAGCCACTATATCCATGACGTCGTAAGTTTCCCGGACTTCCGGTTGGCGCCGTGAGGTCCATATCGCCACCACCGAGCATCGCTCAGGTATAAGCTGAGGAAACAGCGAGTCCAGGAGGCGCGCGACGTTGCTGGCGGTATCAGGCAAGATCGCCTTCAAGGGTTCCTCGAAGCGCAGCTCTCGAAGTGCAGACGCAATCGTGTCGGACGCTGCAGTATCCAGGCGGAAGGAGCGGCCTTCCATCGCTCCGGGCACGTCGAACCAGGACCATGATAGGCACTTGGCCGTCAGACGTTCAAGTCGAGTGCATGTGCGCGAGATGACCTGGAGAGACTCCATGTTGACGGCGAGGCCTGGTAACGTGAGGAACCGTAACGTCGGCCAAGCCGCCACCAAGGCTGGGACATTGATACATAGGTACTCCCTGTCGCCGCTCAGTCTGTACTGGTGTATCATGAATCCTCAAGGCGACAAAGCCCGAGCAAGGGACCCGCCGATATGGGGAAACGTGTGCCGGGTGCTGTCCCTTTCGGAAACAACTCTCCGCTGTATTCACGGAGGCTGAGGTGAAACTTTCGCAGAGTCGTTCCAGTTCGGCGACGCAGGTGATTGAAGATCACGGTGAGTGCGTCCTCCACCAGGACGGTATCCCTCGTTTCCGGGTCCCAGTGCCAGTCCCCGCAGGCCAACTCCACAGCCTCCAGTTTGGGCGCAACAATCACACTGATGACGGCGGCCACCGACGTCGTTCGCCCGTCGATCTGTAGGCGCTTCAGCTGCGCGAACGCACCGACGGGTGGCGTAGCCTGGCCATAGTCCATCTCTGGACTGTAAACACCGCCTCTTTCGTCGAGGAACACCTCGAGGTCGGTGAGTGTCCTGATAGTGGACAGGGCTGCGAGAGCCGCTCTCATGAGGGCGCGACGCGACTCGCATATGTGAAGACTGCGGATGTTCTGGATGACGAAGCGGCCGTGGGGCGTCGACGTGAATGGAATCCAGAAGGCCTCATGCCCAAGCGGTCGTAGCTTGAGCTCTTGCAGCTCCGGGAGACGCTCTAGGGCACTAGGGAGAAGTTGTTTGAACGCATGTCGGCGCATGCGGTACCCAAACTCGCGCAACTGAGAACCGTTCTCCTCTTCGGCATGGTCTTCAGGGAGGTGAAGAACACGGATGGTCGGTGTGATAACGGACACTACCTCAGGCGTGGCATGTTCCCATACGAGCTCGCGCAGATTGGGGAAAAGCGGCTTGCCACGGGCATGCTGCTGGAGGTAAAAGAAGACAGAGGGGTCGATCGTCTCCTCGTTCAAGTAGCGGAGCACACGGACGAACTGGGCATAGTACTCGAAGCGCGACCATTCCTCCGTGGTGATGGGTCCTGACAAGTATTTCTTTGCACGTCGTTCGGTCAGAAGAGCAATAGCACTAAAAGACATGACACGGGACTCACATAGGTAAAAGGATAGTCATACGGATCGATCCCCACTGCCATATCATCGTTCGCCTCGTCATCGGACTCTGGTCCTCCTCCCCAGGTGTCTTCGTCCTGCTCAGGCCACTTGACAGAGCCGAAATCAAAGTTCGACAGGACAGCGTCGCAGGCGTGGCCCATCTGCTGTTCCCTCCAGAGAATCCTGATCGCTTGCTCGTGGAAGGTACGGGACGCCCGTGCACACCTAGCGAGAGCCGTACGCGCAATGCGACTGTCTTCGAGACTGATGTCACCATCTTCCAGATCCTGAGCATGAGCGTGTGTCGCCAGCTGTTCAAGTATCACGCCCAAAAGCTCCAGCGGAAGCCGACTCGGAGCGGACGGTGGCATCGCGCGGTGTTGACAAACAAGTTGTAGTCTGAGCAGCTCGTGGCCGAAGACAGTGAGCGACGAAGCTACTGCGCCGTGACAATGAACGGGACACGCGCTGCAGGGCTACCACTTGGTGAAGCCGCTTGGCGGTGTAGTATTGCCGTCCGTGCAGACAGCGAGGAGGACTCTGAGGAGGAGACACGGTCACGGTCAGTAGCGCCCGTGCTGTCCTCACCTGATCGTGTTTCGCGTGCGTTCAGCCGTCCCTGTCGCTCCTCCTCCTCCTCTTGTGCTCCTCCTCCTCTTGTGCTCCTCCTCCTCCTTGCCTTTGCCTCTTCTCGTCCCTTCTCCCTCTCCCCGTCCATTCCGCCTGCATACTCCGCCCCCGCCGCCTGCACAGCCTTACGCGCGTCGCCGAGACGAGTCGTTCGACACCCCAAACACCATGTTGCGTGCGGTCTTCCGGCTCAGAGGTCAGTCTTTCCTTTCCTTGTCTGATTGCTCCTATTCGTCTCCTCACCCAACTCGCCTCCTCGCAGCCTCATTGCGCACGCATCGTTGAGACCGTGCCACAAACGTCCCATACTGCTGCCAGTCACTGTCTCGCGTGGAACGGAGCGCTGCTTCCCGTTCTGCGTGACACCGCCCTGGCGTGCTCCCCGCTCTCCTCGCTATCCGCAGCCGTCACGCGTCACGCAGGGCTATCCAACATCTGAGAAGACGTTGCTTACGACATCTCACACACATCGCGCTGGACTTGGCGCACAGCCCTCGCTGGACGACGCCGCGCCCCAACCGCGCCCTGCCTCACTTGTGTTCACCCAAACACGGAGCGCGCCCGCAAATCGACGTGACCACGTCTTCGGATAGTACGTGTCCTGCATTCGTACTGCCCCGTGTCTGCGCTGACGGCGCAGACCGGATGATGAACCGTCGTCTCGGCATCCCTACGTACGACAATCCATCATGTCTGCACACTCCCCTAGCCGCCTGAGTTGGCACGCTGCCGCTTACGGTTCCTCCTCGCTCACAACAAACGGAAACAATCGGGGTACATCGCGGGTCGCGCGCTCGGGGATGCTTTCCACGTTACTATCCATCTACGATGTATCACAACCGTATTTCGGCTCGGCCGCATATGTCCCTCGCAGCGTGCGCCATCGTACAGGCGCGACACACGGACGCAGCCTACTCCATACGCGCTCGCATCGCGCTCCCATTCATTGGACGGCTCTCGCAGTCGGCCAAGACCTACGGCGAGACACCCGTCGTCAGCGAGCTCAAGCACCGACATCAAGAGACCACTCACCACCGTTCGCCGTCCCGACTCCACGACATGTACGACCACTCGGCGCACACTGCCCTGGCCGAACAGTAGGCCGAGAGGACGGCCTGCGTCTGTCGGCAAGACGGTTAGCACATTGTTGTCCGACGACGGCTCAGAGACGCGACTCACCGATGCCCTCTTGGCCTCTTCAGCCCACACATCTGTACCTCACCCGCCGAGGCACTCGTCAGCGCTCTCAAGTCGCCATCGCCTCTCCTCGATGTGGTGATCCACAGGTCGCGGACGGTTGTGCGTGCTGGGCGGGAGCCGCGGGCGGGCGGCCTTTGGTACGCCCGTTTGGCTCAGCATCTCCCGCGTGCTGCGACTCTTCGGAGCAGGGCTCGAGTCGACCGTCGCAGGGGCATGCCAGGACTCAGGCCTGCACGTCTTGCGACGGCCACACCGAGCGACCGACGCGGTACTTACGCCACGGCACGTCCCAGACGTCCTGCATTGCTCAGAAGGTGCGACGGGCTGCAGCATCGTACGAGGTGGCGCAGACGTCCTTCCCCGACTCGTCGCATACAGCCCAGCCGTACTCGCCTCCAAGCCTGATGCGCAAGCGAACGCATTGTCGCTGGACGTCTTCCTTCCTCGCACGCAGACACTCTGCCATCAGCGTCGCCTCCAGCCCGCTCGTCGACAAGGTCTCTCCCGTGCGCCGTCCGCAGCCGTGAGTGATGTCGCGCTGTTCGCCCGTGCTACCTTTCTCTGGGCAGGTGCTGTCGCGAGATCATGGGGAACGGCGCGGGCAGGATGCGGACCGGGAGCTGCGATTTGGGACGATAGTAGGGCCATGTACGCAGGAGCTGCACGCGTGACCTCATGGGCCCGCATCCTCGCCGTCTTTCGCCGCGTGAGGAGCTACGCCGAGCACGGTAGCATGGGCGGGAACACGGCAGTGTCGGCGGCGGTAACCTGCGTGCAGCAAACACGCAGAGATGCATGCCCGACGGCCCGTGCGATGTAGGTACAGAGAGCATGTACATAGTCGCGATGGATATATTTATTGGAGGTCTCTACTACACTCGGATATAGAACGCGAGAGACCATCTGAGCCGGTGAACGACGAGTAGCCTTCGGGATGCAGATAAGTAGATCCCTGCCTGCGTCCGGGCGTGGTGCGTACGCGTCTGTCTAGTGATTTGAGCTATTCTCGACGCGGCGACACACCTCCGGCCGTTACCACTGAACTATCTCATCCGTTGAGACAGTAAAGGAAAGTAATAACAATTCGAGCAGATATCACCACGACACCACGATCTATTGGAACATAACATAAGACGGAGTACTACTAGTTTGACCCGTGCAGAGCGGGAGAGTAGCAGAAGACTCCGAATTGGTCAGTCTACAAAAAGGATACTGAGTCAGTCTTCAGCCCGACGGCGAGACACTCGAGTCGTCGGCGAATATCACATACCATTTCGTCGTCCGAGTTGCAATTCCTTCAATTTCTGCCTTACACCATGGAAGGGCGACGGTCCCCGCGGGCGGGGCCAGTGACACGGCACGGGACCCAAAAGCGTTCAGCGTCGAGCTGGTGAAAAAGTGAATCGAAGAAGCAGGCGACCCTGCCGATTTCGATGGAGGAGGAGGGCATGAAGTAATCGTGCACGCAAACGCCCGAAGTGCAGGTCTTCCTCCACTAGGCTCCCCAATGGGGCCAAAGCAGAGGAGGCCTCCAACCGGGAGAGGCTTTCGACAAATTTCGTTGACAATTCCACACGTGAGGCTTTCAACCTGGGGGCACGTGCGCGCGATGTACTGCAGCGTCTCAGGAAAGACCACTAGTGCAGACAAGGCGAGCGTTCGTAGCCTGGGCCATGCATTTACCCAGCCAAGGATGTTTGGTTCCGCGTAGTACTTGACATCCCTGAGGGCCTGTAATATCATGACATCTTGCAGTGCACGAAGCTCGAGCAATGGGCTCCCTGGGCCAGTCGCTTGCGTAGCAGTTGCCGCTGGGTCTGGAAGGAGGGGCACGTCCGCGTCCGTGTGGGTAAAGTGGAACCTTCGTAGAGACAGCGCATTGCGGCGACTGAATAGGTTGAACATCACGTAGAGCACATCCGAGTTCCCTTCTGGTATGTCGACACCTAGGTCGATGTCGTCGTCTAGGTTGCCCTGACATACTAGCTCCACATCCTCGAGTTCGGGGCAACGATCACGTTGACAAG